AGCTTCAGCATCATTAAGTAAAATTTAGTATTGCATAGTACAGGTGCAGCTATTTAAACCAGCTTTCAGCATTGCACAGTGCAGGTGCAGATATTCAGACCAGCTTTTAATGTTGCACAGTACAGATGCAGGTATTCAGACCATGTTTAGTATTGCACAATACATGTGCAAATATTAACACCAGCTTTTAGTGTTGTGCAGTACAGGTGCAGGTATTTAAACCAGATTTTAGTAATGCACAGTGCAGGTGCAGATATTCAGACCAGCGTTTAGTATTGCACAATACATGTGCAGATATTTAAAGATATTTAAATCTGCGTTAAAGTATGGGAGATACGATCGTCTTAGGGTTACGATCGCTTTGAGGAACGAGGCCCAGGTGCAAGTATTGAGAGCTGAGCAAACGTATTGCACAGTACAGGTGCAGATATTCAGAGCAGAAAAGTTTTATCATTGCACAGTACAGGTGCAGATATTCAGAGCAGAGAAGTTTTATCATTTCACAGTACAGGTGCAGATATTCAGAGCAGAGAAGTTTTATCATTTCACAGTACACGTTCAGATATTCAGAGCAGAGAAGTTTTATCATTGCACAGTGCACGTTCAGATATTCAGAGCATCTTTTGTTTTGCATCCCAGTTTATCTCACCTTACATCATAGCATATAAATCTGACAGTTTAGCCTCCCAAAATTTCCCCTTAACATAATTGTGTTAACTTGTGTCTGATGACGTGGTTCGTTGCTGCTCCTGTCTACAACTCCTGTCAGTGTTTGCCCCTAACCCTGAAAAGCTGCAGGCCCAAAGGACCCAGAACCACAAACAGGCGTGGATCCTGATCAGAATGTGTAGGCCTACATTTTAACATGGAAATAATACTCTTATTTATTGGGGAGTGGTTTTCAGTCGACATCGGCCCTAAAGACCGACGTTAATTTCGAACGCTCCCTGTTGTCCTGGACAGGTGCGTACTACTACATCTGTGATGGATACTCTCACATAATCTCTTCACTATCTAAGTCGGATATCAGGCACAGTTGCTATTGTCCTACATGTATGTACACATGTGACTTTAACATGCACGTTAATCTCCTTTTGTCGTGTACAGGATCGCTGGAGGTCAGTATACAATTGACAACTATCACATGGCTGATACGTCATTAGATATATCTAACGAGAGGATAATTGTTTCACAATCCGTGGGCTCGTACCAGTCACTTCTTACCTGACATGCAGGGAGCGCTCATTTTATTTTCAGAATCATCGTGACAAGACTGGAAACAGCATTTCAAGGACGTGAAGACAATGCACTTGCCACATTTGAGAACGCATATCTAAATCACATGTATTCAAGCCTTATTGATTGTCACAGGAAATGCGTTTGCGTTTATACAAATGTGAAAATTTAATGACAATTCTGAGCTCAAAGACATAGTTCACGGTTAATGATGTGTCATTCTGTTTGCCTTCTGATCCCATGAGTATATACATGTCCATATGTTCCTAATATTTTCACCCGTGAAGATCCGGGTTAGAATTGGTCTTCAGCAACTCATGCTTGTTGTAAGAGCACTTAGGGGATCAAGTGGTGAGGCTCGCTGACTTGGTTGACACATGTCATCATATCCCAATTGCGTTGATCGATGCTCATGATTTTCATCACTGAATTGCCTGGTCCAGATTCGATTATTTACTGCCGCCACCATATAGCTAGAATATTGCTGAGTGCGTCCTTGAAACAACAAACAAACAAAAACCAAATTGTCAGCATTACACTTGTACCCGTGGCTTCCTTCCCACATTTAGCTGCCCCCCGTCACATTCGTGTATATACTGCTGTTGAAGACCCGGGTTAGAATTGGTCTTCAGTAACCCGTGCATGTCGTAAGAGGTGACTATTATAACGGGATCGGGTGGTCAGGCTCGCTGACTTGGTTGACATTCTTGTCATTTTGTACGTATTAGCTGTGGGGATTTTGGAATAGCGCTTCCTTACTGTCACGTCTCACACAGAATAACGTTGTTTGGGTGTGTGAGTGAGTTTAATTTTACGCCGCACAGCAATATTCCAGCTATATGGCGGCCAAAGGTTGTATGGATTAACAGGGTTAAGGTCATCGAACTGGCAAATTGGTATTCAGTAACCCATGCTTGTCGTAAGAGGCGACTAACGGGATCGGGTGGTCAGGATCGCTGACTTGGTTGACACATGTACACATGTATCGATGCTCATGATCACTGGATTATCTGCCACAGTAGAGCTGGAATATTGCTGAGTGCTGCATTTAACAAACAAGCAAACAACCAAACACAGTTACTTCGTCACTTTGGGCGTGGCTCATACTTTCACTTTTCCAGGTCAGGTAGTCCGCGTCAAGACGATAGATTACGAGAGTACACGTGCACTCTCCCGAGTGCAGGTGTCCTCGTTATCTTCGGCCTTATCATGCGTGTAGGGTCACTGAAGACAAAACATGCTTCAAGGACCCTAGTAACAAAAGTACATTCCAAAATGGCGTACAGCTCAGTTCGCTCACTTTCAGATAACTTAATTGAAATATTCATGTGAAATGTTATAATATCAGAGACATAACTATATTAGGCTTCTGGGAGACCACATATCATGGCTGAAATGTGCGATATGGGAAGGTTTTGTCGAACTTCAATTGAAACAAAAATCGATTTCCGAAAATCTTTAGATATTCCAGTTTCCCTGAAATTAGACTCATCTATAATTTAGGTTCAATATAACAAAATGCCTGAATCGCATGTGGAAGCTGCGCTGGCTGAGTGGGTTAGACGGCTGACTTTGTTTGCTGGCGATTAGGTGCCCGACTCTGAGGAAAAGTATTAACAATAGCAGTAGACTCTGTAAACTCTGTAAATTACTGAGAGTGTAATCCCAAATATAACATACGAAATTGAATATACAGATATTGATTAGCAAACTCATATTTTAAATTATGAATGTACTGTGAGGCTAAAAGGCGACTATTGTTAATGACGATCCTGTCGTTGAAGTAGCAGTCGTAGTGAATTTCATAAAGATATCAAAGTGGCTGTTGCTAAAACGGTAGCTGTTTGATAAGTGGAAATAGCATTTGACAACGGTCATATGACGGGTTGAGCTAAGCCTTCACGAGTTACCTCCCTTTAGCTGCATTTCCGATCAGACTCGCCACTGATTGAATCTTCCCCTTGAGAATATTCAGCTTTTCCCATAGTGATACCTGTCCGTATGGATGGACGTATGGCTTAAAACTACAAATTTAAAAGCGAGGTACACTTGAAACAATATTAACTGATCATTAGTTAATTGAAATAAAAAAATACAAATTATATGATATAATATTGAAGTTTGTAAACTTAATACTTAATAACGTGTGACAGTCTGAGAGATAAAACGTTTGCTGGTCACGAAGAATACCTGAGTGAAGTATGTCCATTTCTGGCGCCCCCGTCGTGATAATGCTGGAAGACTGCAGAAATAGTGCTAAAATCGACGTCAAAGCAAACGCACTCACTCACTCACTCGATAATCTATGTATTGCCTACGTGCAACGTTAAATGAGCCCGAAGAAATTTAATCTTTATAGACATGACTTCATTGAGACCTTCTTGCGAAACAGTGGAAGTACGATACTTTGCGGACAGCAACTTCTTTATTATAATTATATTATATTGCTCGTACCCACGTCCATATACAGATGCTGACATCAATAGAAAACAAAATGAAAGTATACTCATGGAAACAAATAAGGGAACACATGAAAGTACAAGTGTTCCTTTGTTGATTTCCCAAATTCCACCCACAGAACAATACATACCTTGTGTAGAAACCTGGAAAAGAATAAAGAAACACATGTACTTCCATGTGTTCCCTTATTAATTTTCATGAGTATATATACTCTAATGCATTTAACAATATTTAACGAAACCAAAATTGGACTTTATAGATTGGGTGACGTAGTGCCCTTACATGGGATAGTTTTCATAATGTCAACCTCTGATTTTGATTTACAGTACCATTAAACATTTTGCATCCTAACTAATCGTATGTAAGCAACATGAAGTTAGAAACGGATTGGAGATTGGGGATTCGAATCCCAAATCTGAATTATTTTTTCACATTTGGGATTCGAATCCCCAGTCCCGAATCCCGAATCCGTTCATGTTGCTTCGTATGTAGGGATCTCAACGTACCATTTCTACTTCATAGAAAATGGCATGAACTTAATTCCACAAAATCATGTACTTATAACATAAGGCAAATGTTTAAAATAACAAGTGCTTTTCCCAGTGAGGATCATCTTCAGATAACATGGCATCTGGAAATACTGGAATTTCACAGAATATTTAAAACATAACAGACTGTTAGAGTGAGTGAGTGAATTTAGTTTTACCACGTTTTTAGCAATATTCCAGCAATATCACGGTGGGGGACACCAGAAATGGGCTTCACACATTGTACCTTCACACATGTGGCGAATCGGCGTGACCAGCGACCGCCTTATCCACTAGGCTACCCCACCGCACCACCCACTTTTAGATAAGTTGATAGCTTAAAAGATATTTATAAACAGTCTGAGAGTGGAATATTTTAAGCTTTTGTCCCTTTAAGAATTATCTGATGCAGCAACAACACCCAATACAGACCCAGGTAATTTTACTTTCAACTACGTTGTAACAGAAAAGAACAGAGGATAGAAAGTGTAACTCAGATATCTGATGAGACTTATAATTAATGTAAACTGTACACCATACACCAAACGTTTTTGTTAACTATGAAATTGGAGAAAGAATAGGGTAAAAATGCATTGCATATTCATCAAGACAATTAATAATGAATTCGATTCAAGTCTTTTTAACAGTTCAGTAGCCATGTCGTTAGGGCGCCGTAATTCGCCTGCAGGGTTGCGTCCCCTTGGCTCGCCAGGTACCAGTGATTGAGGGTGTTGGAATCCTGATTTTCCCAGTTTATGTTTTAGGCTTGTCCGCATCATGCCTGTGGGTTTTACGCAAGTAGCAAACGTTGAGTGTGTATTGTTTTACGCTGCTTTTAGCAATATTCCAGCAATATCACGGCGGGGAACACCAGAAATGGGCTTTACATGTGGGGAATCGAACTCAAATTTTCGGCGAGACGAGCGAACGCTTCAACCACTAGGCTACCCCACCGCACCAGTAAACGTTGATGCCTGCATTACTCTGGGTTCTCCTCCCACATACAACCAATACGTCATTCAGTCATTTAAACGTATGCCACACTAGAAAAATGATATTGCGATAACACAATGAGAGTGCTAAGATATTGTGATAACACCACCACATAATCGACGTATATGTAATAATGACACAATGTACGAAAGATGCGGCACGACACATATTGTTTGTTTGTGTTGGTAACGGAACGTGATTTGATGTGGTTGGTTCACAGATGGTACCACTTCTATAATTCGCAAGCTTACGACGTCATCATTGCATAGTGATTCATAAACACATACCTATACAATAATCCCAGTCGTTCATTTGACTCTGATGTTTCTGCAGATATTTCTTATGGGTTTTTTTTTAAAGCTGTCACATGTATTTTCTGTTATAGCTGCTTGTAAAAAACAACATACTGACATGAACTATGACAAATATTTTATCCGTATAAAGACCACTGGCCTACATGCAGAGAAAGTATATACCGTATTTCCCCCAATAAGCGCTGGGACTCTAATAAGCGCCGCGGCTCACGGAAGTCGGTTGATAAAATAAGCGCCCGGGCGCTCACTAGAGGAAATACAGTATGTGCATATTACAGTGATACATATGTTTACATATAATACACATTACAATTTACCTGTGTCTCATTTCATAACTTCGAGATATATCTACGTCGTTTTCTCAGTAACCGCACAACGTTCCACTGGAGAAGCATTCTTAATTTATGCATATTCGGATTATGAAAACATATATGCCTGCCCGTTCTCTCTGCTCCCAGAATCAACATCTTCTCTCAGTTCCCCAAGTTCGTCTCAAACACTTTGGCCATAGGTCATTCAAATCTGCAGCACCAACCCTATGGAACAGTCTTCCTACTCCCATAAAAAATGCTTCATCCTTAGAAGCATTCAAATCGGGACTCAAAACCTTCCTCTTCAAAAAAGTCTACAACCTATAACTGCGAAATATTCTCATGGTCATTTTGACGAATTGTCATATCTTCCTCTTGAACTTTAGCGACTCTTTTTATATGTAGCTCTTTGAGCATGCTCTGGATGGACTATGGCGCATAAGAAATATCCATTTATTATTATTATTATTATTATTATTATTATTATTATTATTATTATTATTATAATTACATATTAAGATAAAATGATATGGAATTCATCTTCAGTCAGGGCAGTGGGTTGGCCTAGTGGTTAAAGCATTGGCTTGTCACGCCAAAGACCAGGGTTCGAATCACTACATGGGGACAATGTGTGAAGCCTATTTTTGGTGTCCCCCTCCTGTTGCTGGGATATTGCTAAAAGCGGCGTAAAACACTACTCACTCACTCATCTTCAGTCCACAAATTATAAAGAGGACATAAACGTAAATGTCGATCTAACCCCAACCATCTTCCTTCGTTACTTGTGTACAATATGGTATACCCTCCGTTATACAGTATAATTACCTACGTTACATAAGACTTTAACTTTTCTTTTACGAATAACCCATGGATACCGAAACATGAAATGCTCAAATCAGTAAGTAATTTTCATTCCTAATCAATCAGATACAGCCTTAATATGCCATTGCACCGTGTTATCGGCGTTACTATTTCAACCAGCGTATCTTCAAAGCAATCCTGTAGCGAACACTAATCCCAAGATCCCGAGATTTACTACAGAACACGGAAAAATGTTTAACATTGTCCACACATTACTGAAAGCGCGTACAGTTCAAAGTGTTAAAGTTAATCGATCCATCTCTTCCGTCGATCTAACACGAGGCCATTTCAATTGTAAAGCGTACGGCTTTGAATGAGTCTCGTTATGAACATATCAGTCGATCTATATAGTGCATGTAATTTCTCCAATAATGTCACCATCACTGTATTTCTGGTTGCTAGGCCTAGTTCTTAAGTTAGAACACAACTGATTTAGATTGAGCAGGTAATTATCTGATTTTCTTTAAGATTAGCGCAAATACACGGAATGTAAATTATTATTCAAATGTCGTTGCTGTTCCTTAGCAAGATGCCTACAAGAGAAAGGAACTGACGAGCGGACACATGTTCCTGAGCAAAGGTGACATTTCTTAAACATCAACTGTGTATTTATAAATGTTGGTGTGTTAGATAAAATATTTTAAAGATGTATCATTCTGTTTGAGTTCTGTTCCAAAAACAGTAACTGTATATGTAATTGATTTGTGTATGAATGTCCATATGTTTCCAAGTTTGCAAAATGGCCAATCGGATTCAGTTGCGGAGTGTGTTTAGGCGTCCGGTAAACACACATGACATGAGGTTAGAATCTCATGTATTTCCTTTGAACATGAGTAGAAAAACATCATTTCCTGATGCTTGCAAACACGATCATGCCATTTCATTATGAATTCCTGAAGTTTGATTGTGTGTTGATGGTTTGCAACAAAGTCTCTCGTGCTGTTCCTGTAACCAATATTTGCAGTACATATTTAGTTTCTGTCACAACTAGTCGACGTTAATGCTTTGTGTGTTCTCATAATATTTATTATTATTGCGGTGTGCCAAAGTCATTTTGTTATGGTAGGACTAGCATAGAAACCGATCGTGGTATATTATGGGCAGGAGATTTGTCACAGAGACAGAATTTGAATTGGGATATATTAATTTTTTTGCCGCACAGAACAAGGTGTGTTTAAATAGTACATTTCACCAAGACATTCAGTATATTTTAACAAACAATTGTGTTCAAATACAATGACTTAGATCAAAACAGCATATCATAATTATGACGTGTCAGTGTTGATTGTGTACATGGATATGGCAAGACATACACATGCCGGAGTAACGGTACTTTGTAACATACGATTCAGTAGGGAGTACTTCTCTATAAATATTACCTTCAGCAGTCCTCAATCAGAGGTTGTTATTTGATTTGAAAAATAGGATTGACCAATAAAAATCGTGTATTTCTTAACATCATAATTGAATGGAATAGACATCGATGTTTATAAATTATTTGTACAAAGCAATTGAAATACTACATATTTGAGAGATCGTGTTTCTTTTTCTTTGTCGAATTAATATATTGTTCATAATTATCAATGTAATACCTTGTCATCGGTTGCAAATGTGCCCCTCTTCTATATATATTTTAAGACTAATCCATCTAAAATATAATCTTAAAATAAGAAGGGCAACTTCATTTTTAATTTACGATTGAAAAAACTGTGAGATATATAACGGAGTCAATCAATGTTGATAAAATAAAAATGAATGTTTTAAGAGTGCGTCACCACTTCCACTTCCGGGTTGTTTGTACAATAATCGCTCTTCAACGATCTTTGGTGTATGACGTGAATTTTGCATGTGTACAATTTTCATTGTAAAAAACAACAACAAACGGCTCGAGACAAACGCTAATAACAGTATGATGCAAGATGATTGTCTACAGTGATTTATCTACCTCCTTGAAAACCGTCAAAATCAAGAATTACACCCCATGCCCGTGTATGGGGCTACTGCGTTGTGCGCGTGAATAGGGTGGTGATAAAGAGAAATGGTGGTGCGTTCATAAGATGTCTGTCTTTAAAAAGTTTGTTAACGCTTATACTTCATTTCCAAATTGAAAGTTCAGGTTCCTCTACTTTTTGGGAGAGTATACATTCATTACTTGTAGTACACATATTATCCCTGTATATGTTTCCTTCAGAAATACGAAACGAAACATAAACATGAAGGGAAGTTGTTCGGTGCTGCTTTTCGTCTGTTTGTGCGCATGTCTACCAACAGCGACGTCATATCCGGGTATGTATATAGTCAAGGCGTCTTTCTACCTATCCAGGGGTGGTGGGATAGCCTCGGGGTTAAAAGAATTCCACCATATCCTCACTGTAACATGTTATATTTGGGATTACATTTTCTTAGTAATGTACAGATTCTAGTACTTGTGTTGGGTTGAGTCCCATCCGGGATTTGAACCCACACCCTCAGAGTCAGGCACCTAATCACCAGCACACAAAGTCAGTCACATAACCCGCTCCGTCACCGCGGCTTCAACAAAAATGGAAGTCGGACAACTGGTAGTCTTGACCACGGACTTTGTGTACCCGTCTGATAAGTGTAAATTGGCACGGCCGAAAGCTATGTGTACACAATGCCATTCAGAAAGTGGTCAAATGTAACATATGTTATATTTCGGATTACACTTTCTGTGACCGGCAAATACGTTGAAGACATCAGTCTATTCGAGATAACGGATCTCGAGGACAAAAGTAGGGACTGTACATGCATTTTGTCAAGCAAAACCGTATTGTGCCGAAGAAAAGACAGCATCGCGCCTCTGTACAAATAGTACACTCGACATCTTGCTTGACAACGGTATAAGAATCTATAGAGAAATGTCGCATCATACTATAATAAAGAAGTTGTTATCCATAAAGTTTCTTACCTTTCTTGTTACTCACCACTTCTAATATACCGGGGCGGTTGGGTAGCCTAGTGGTTAAAGCGTTCGCTCGTCACGCCGAAACTCGGGTTCGATTCCCCACATGGATACAATGCGTGAAGCCCATTTCCAAAACATTCAAATACCTTATCACATAAAATCCTTCAAGAAATATACCCAATATATCCCAAGAAAGACTATAATATGTGGCAAGTTTAGATTACCAAAGCTTCTGAAACGAAGAAAGTATTGGGACTTTTTTTATGATACATGTAATTAATGAAGATACTGTATAATTCAGAAACGTTTTTTTCTGTAAAATATGTTCATTTCTTTTACTAAATGTTAGTATAATAAAATAAACATGACCTACCTCCCACTTGTTCAGGCCGATGGGAGCAATTACTGCTCACGCAGGGTACCATCATCAACCTGGCTGATGTTGGCTTCAGCCCAATCCATGTCCACTGGCTCATGTTCGGCATCCAGGCGTGCGAGGACCTCATCATCACCTTCGCGGAGGTTCTGGACAACTCGAAGGGGTATGTGATGGTCTACCTTGGTTACCAGGGGAACAATTACACCCTCCTCATCCCGTCAACCCACTGTGATGAAACTGGCAAGTGTTCTCCCACCGACTACATAGAAGGTCACCTCCTGGACTGTGCCAATCCGAAGTATTTCTGGATGAAGTGGGACAACCATGGCATTTTGGAACTAGGAACTGGATACATTATCGGAGAAGGCATGTTCCTACATACCAACTACAGTGGAGAATTTCATCTCAATTCCGTGACGTTCAGAGTGAATCATGCCCAAGGCGGTGTCGCCCTTGTCAACATAGGTGAGAATATAATGGGAATTGCATAGTTCGATGCTCATGATATTGATCACTGGTTTTACCCATCCAGTCTCTCATCTTAAATACCTTTTGGACCGGTGTTTAGAAACCTATGCTTGTCATAAGAGGCGACTAACTGGATCGTTGGTCTGGCTCAATGACTTGGCTGACACATGTCATCGTATGCTAATGCTTATTTCTGTTGATCACTGGATTGCCTTGTCCAGACTCGGTCCAGACTGGCTGCTGCTATATAGCTGGAATATTGCTGAGCGCGGCTTTAAAGAACAAACAAACACAACTTTGGGGTATTTTATTTTTTGAGATATGAGGTTGTGGGAAATTATGTATATGATAACATCATGTGTCACTGTGTCACCTAAACCCAGCACGATGGCAGCATACACAGAATAGAGTATCTCAGATAACAGCTTGGTTGACACATCAACTTCAGCGCCTTTATGCCTTCAAAGTACTCAACACACATCGAACACACATTCACATTATTTTTATCAGTTGATTAATTGAATTGAATTTGGTTTGTCCAAACTGCAGCAGTGAAAAGCAATCGTAAGTCCAGCCTCAGTTATCACGAATAACCATATACGTAAACTACTTTTAAAACGAACAACTCTTTTGTAGTCCTGCTACTTATACTTGCTGTATAATGTATTCGAAATGCGTGTAACGAACTGCAGGTATAACTTACTAAATTAGTTTCCCCTTTGAGTTCGTTATAACCGTAGTTATGTAAATAAATCAAAGTTCGGGGCGGTAGGGTAGCCTAGTGGTTAAAGCGTGGTGACACCGAAGCCCGGGTTCGATTCCCCACATGGGTACAATGTGGTAAGCCCATTTCTGGTGTGGGTCGGTGGAGTAGCCTAGTGGTTAAAGCGTGGTGACACCGAAGACCCGGGTTCGATTCCCCACATGGGCACAATGTGTGAAGCCCATTTCTGGTGTCCCCCGCCGTGATATTGCTGGAATATTGCTAAAAGCGGCGTAAAACTAAACCCAGTCAGTCAGTCAGTCAGTCAGTCAGTCAGTCAGTCATTTCTGGTGTCCCTAGCCGTGATATTGCTGGTATATTGCTAAAAGCGGCGTAAACCCATAATCACTCACTCACCTGTATGAAAGTTCTAGTAACAGGAGATGCCATTCTGTGGTCTGCTTCTCCCCAGACTCTCGTCCCAAGTTCATTTCCCCCTCTGCTGACGGCACCCACAACCTCATAGTGGACGAGACAGCCGACACCGGGGTGGAGATCTTCACAGTAGAAGCGAAGGACCCAGAGAATGACAACGTCACATACAGCGTTGTCGGAGATTACACCGACATGTTCAACATTACTGGCAACACACTGTACAACATCAGACCTCTGGATTATGAGACCCGGTGTTCGTTCGATGTTACGATCAGGTCAGTGCAGTAATTTTCAGCTGAATCGCATTTGTTCGAAGTCCATATATCCCTGAAGTCTGGCTTTGCGTCAGGTTAATTCTTAGATTAAATTAATTTCTAATTACAGGTGCCTGTCAGCCTCAGTGATGTTGATTAACCGTAGCTAGAATTACACACTTTCTGGTTGCTAATAATGCTTTTGGGACACATTAAGAAGCTTCAGCACTAAGTGAATATGAAATATATCAATGTAAAAGTCCAATATTTCATTTAAGACGCACGTTTTGTTCCTGTATGTTCTAACATCTGTGAGATACATTTAGAAGATAAAGGTCTGATACGTGGTGTGTATGATATTATATGCCAACTTGTTGCTTCGTTTCAAATGAATTCCAACTATACTAGTGTGTTAAACGACTTTAATGTGTAGTCGTTTTTTGAGTGAGTAAGTTTAGTTTTACGCCGCACTCAGCAATATTCCAGCTATATGGCGGCGATCTGTTAAAAATCAAATCGGGACCTGGTAATCCAGTGATTAACATCATGAGCATCGATCTACGCAATTGTTATACGATGACACGTGTCAACCAAGTCAGCGAGTCTGACCACCCGATCCCGTTAGTCGATGTTACGACAAGCAAGGGTTACTGAAGATCAGCAACTCATCGATAACCAATGATCTGTAACCCGGATCTTCCCGGGTTATGATGCGTGGAAAATCAGATGTTCAGGGTTAAATCCACCACAGAAACGGTCGTTCAAAAATGTAATAGCACAGCTATTCGTCCACATGACTTATCCTGACTGACATTTCAGCGCTTCTGACCGTATCGGCACCACCAATACAACCCTGACAATTAGAATCGGGGATGTTATCGATGAGAGGCCGGAAGTGATCATTACCCCTGTGGCGATACCCGAGGAACTGGCCATTGGGACGGCGGTGGACGGAGGCTTCCTGGTCCGTGACCAAGACAAGAATGACACGGAACACTTTTACATAACAGGTAACGGCAAGAACATTGTCACAGGTTACGGCATTTGCTGCATAACAGGCAACGGCAAGAACCGTGTCACAAGTTACGGTAGTTACTGTACAACATATATTGACACGAACCGTGTGGCTGGTATTGACAAGAACCGCTTCAAAGGTTACGGTATTTACTATATAACAGGTAGTTCTTGAAAGTTGAACGAACATAGATACATGACACGTTTTATGAATAACAGCTTACTCCCAGTAACACTTACTATATCACAGTTGACGATGTATACAAGATATAGGAAAGTTGGCAGCAGCGGTAATTCCTTTATAACAGGTATAAGGCAAATACAGATTAAACAATAGGGCCCGTAAGTCTAGCGAGGCGCTACTTGCGATAGTAGATTTCCGGTGACATGCATGTATTCAAGAACCAGTTCTGCTTCCAAATTGCGCGATTGCAAACTATGACTTCACTAGACTGGACCAAGTATATTACCACGCTTGGATGCACAGCTATTCACAGATATACACGTGCTATTCATGCAACGTAGTCCAAGTGTTTTGTAACCTGTTGCATGTGATAGCTTGTGGAGTCTGACAGCGTGTGCCGAGCATGATTACCTAGGACATACCCCTTGTAACAGTGCTATCGCCATTGCCGTAAGACTTTGTTTGTCACCGGAAGTACTAAAATCTTGCAAAGTGCCGTGACCTACTTAAAATTACAGGCCCTTTTCCGGCAGCTTCCGCACACCTTACACATACTCTAGTTTAAGATCTCAGATTCTGGAGATTTTCATGGAAACAATAACAGACTCCAGTTTCTAAAATGTACTTCTCTTTGATGGGTTCTTGATATGAATTCATTTCATATAACCAGGGCCTCAGTCGGACTATTTCACTGTTTTGGAAGATTGGAAATTTGAGATCATGAAACGTATTGACTATGAGAACGGCTCCAAGTTTATGGACATGTTGATACTGACGGTGATCGACTCCGGCGGCTTAAACACCAGCGCCTACCTCAACATCACCATCATGGACATGAACGACAACCCGCCTGTCTTCTCCTCATCTGTGTACTACGCGAGCGTTTCTGAGAACTCGGGACCAGGTGAGATTTCACAGAATGTAAAATTTCCCAAACCGAATATTGGTTAATCTAATTGTAATGCAAATATACCGAGGGAAACAAATAAGGGAACACATGAAAGTACAAGTGTTTCTATATTCTTTTCCAAGTTTCTTCACAAGCTTTGAATTGCACTTTGGGTGCCCATCTGAAAATAAATAAAGGAACACTGCGATGAATTGGTGTTCCCTTATTTGTTTCCCTCAGTATAGATTGAGCGGCCCGTAACTTGTGGCAGTTAGCACAAAATGTTGTGGTGATTAATTTTTTCTTGGTTTAAAACTTGCACACCGAAGTATGTAACTGCCGTTATTATATTCCATGTGGAAATAGAAAAAAAAATCCTGCACTGGTATGTTTGTGCATATGTAACCATAATATACATTGGTAAGATGACAAAACTATACCTTTATATTTTGCGTTTTTAAACCCCAAACCATCAATCACACTGTCTAATTCCATTTTGGTGGTAGTTATTATCATGAGGTATCACCTCATTATCAAAAGCACCAAAGCTGCCTTCTTGACAGGTTCCAGCAACACAAACGTCAGTAATCAAAGCGTTACACTGGTTAAGCCCAGTGGTTAAAGCGTTCGCTCGTCATGCCGGGTTCGATTCCCAAAATGGCAACTATGTGTGAAGCCCATTTCTGGTGTTTCCCGCCGTGATATTGTTGGGAAATTGCTAAAAGCAGCGTAAACTTAAACTCACTCACTCTTAAATTAAGCCCGAGAGACACTTCACTACTCAACACCTGGAACCCCTCGCTGATTGCCCAGCTCGCTGTTGCGAGGCTAATAAGTGCTATTCACACCTGATTTCCCTGGCAGGTTTCGGGGATGACAGGAAACTGTCTAGTCGTACAAACAAGCTCTGATTGTTTAATTGTGTCGTAAAGATACAAGTTAAAAGAAAGCAGGTGTGAATATATATCATGTATTGCAACGTTATATTGTATTGTATTGTAGACCTTTGGCGGCTTGTACATTTATATTTTATAATTATCAACATATGTATGTATTATTTGTATGTAAGAGATGAGACATACATATACAAATTCTTTCTCTTATATCATCGTGTAAGGTTTAATTTTACAAAACATCTATGACAAGGACATACTGTAATTTACTTACATGCTTTATAAGATTCTACGATAATAGCGTTTTTGCCGATACATTTCTAGTGTATACTGAATATTTCAAGGAAAGTACTATTACGCTAGTCTGTGACTAACATAGAGCACATTCATAACTTTGCTTCATCTAGATTTAATGCAAAAACATACGTTATCATACGAACATACAAATAAAGATTGTATAATACAGATTCCTTGTATAGACATAAAACAAAGAGTCACGTGATAGGGCGTCAACAAATTTCCCCAATAGAACGTGCGATATCTCAATTGTTCCATATAGTGGCTGATCATTTGTTGTCTATGACCAATCGTATCATGAGATACCTGTCACAGAGGAAGGGACATGTGATGGGGCGTGGGCGAATTTCTGAAGACCACGTTTGGTCGCTCAACACCTGGATAGAGACTGATTATTGGCTATACCTTGACCAGTCGATATGCTGGGTTTCGACTTTGTCAACTCAAGCTATCATGTAACAGTTTGTGCATTGTAAACATACATAATCATAACGACCTATGAAATATAGACATAAGACAAAAAGGAGTAGATAGATCTCAGAGATCGCAAACACGTTTTAGTGTTTGTCGATAAGTAAAACAAAGCGATTTAAATCCAACCATTGAGTAGAGATAGTATTTATTTTCATATACATTTTACGCACACAACTAGTACATAAAACATAATGGTTTGCTGTGCATGTAAATATAATCTTCACCTTGATACGAATGAATATCCAAATTAAAGTACACGCATTATAGAATTCAAAACGTGACACGATACTGAATTATTATAATGTATAAACTTGCAGTTGAATCCCCCCAAATATTTATGAAGATGGGCGTCCCTTTATTTATACTGAATGTAAACGAGGTTCATAAGATTACAGATGTGCATGCACGCATAAACATTACAAAGAGGGGCGTGACTCCATAAAGTAGGTTGTCAAATGATATAACATCGCATCTGTTTATTTGGTATCATCCCAAAACTTCCACAGCTTATAACAACAACATTTCTGGTTGACTGCACACACTTGAGCATACTGATTACCTCAGTCTGTAATGGTTTAACCCATTAATCAGTAGTGAATACAAACAATCACGTAGTAATATATCAGCAAAAATACGTATCTTTTCTGGTTAGATAGAGCAGTCTATGTAGAACATTTATGTAGAACTTATGTCCTATAGCGTCTAAGATTTCACCCGCACATTTGACAGTCATAACCCTGCCACTCTGTATTGTTGTTGATGTCCCTGATGCACCAGAAGAGTCTGGCGTAGAGGAACACGGCTATGATAGAGCTGTTACTGTAGTGATATTATATACCGTCACAGTGTCACTGCCGTAACATGCAGTGTTTTACATGACAGGGACACCCATAAGTAAATCTGTTGCCTATTACATATTCTTTAAACATTCTGAAATATCTGACTGACAATTTTCATTATATTATCTTTAAAAGTAAACATATAAAACTGACTATTATTAAAAATGTCACTACCGTTATTGTGTCACTACCATAACAATTAATGCCAATGTCCATACCACAACATTATCGATTCTCTTATTTAATTAAAATTTATTTATGTGTGTATGTCTGATATTTGTAGTGCAAGTATGTTTGGTAGTAGAGCTTCACGTAAGCATAATACAATTCATATTCTCATTTTGAATTTTTTGCTGCTACATATTACTTTATATTTGCAAATTAGAATTGAAAGGAATTGTTTGGCGTGTTGGCCCCTTTTAAGCAATAAATATAAAACTTCAAAACCCATTAACCATGTTATATTGTAAAACTGCATATCTAAATATACGTACATGTACATTAAATGTACGTTAAGCTTGCATAATTTATGTTTTGTATATTCAGAATACTATGAACTTAATCAACAACATTTCAAGGTAAAATAATAAAACAAAAGTTACAATTTTTGCCAACACGAAATATACACGAATTTATATTATATATATTTCAGATTTATTAACTAACTGCTCTCTTCTGTACTAAAATCTCTTCCCTGCTTCAGTCAGGTGATGTATCATTATCTGTAGTTTCACTTCAGTGCACTTCCAGGGCTATCCTATTACCTAAAAGGGGTGATGAGGAGTTGTTGTTTTAACAATGTGTTGTAGTATTGGGATGTGGAAGTTTTGGGATATAACCGTTTATTTAACACTTGTCACGGGACAAACCTTTCAACAAGGGCGTAACTACACATGCATTCTACCGGAGGCTGTTATTTCAAGGCCGAAAGAGGTGTTCAATTATCTCATTATTGCAATCTGATTGAATGATTATACGCGTACGTATTATACCGTAACTGATATACTATCCAGTTTTTATTGACGATGGATCAGCAATTGAGTTCATTGATACACGTGATAATTACATCAGATTTGATAATTACAGAGATCAAAGACAAATGTTTTACACAGTGCTCATGTAAATTGCATAGAAAACTGACAATTCAAATCAACATGACACTTTCAACAGCTTGAACAGAAATGCTTGAAATACCTTTGTATGGTTTACATGTAATAACTTATGATATTACTTCTGTCTATGTCTAAGGATTTTTTTAATTACCAACTCACTGTGTTTTGTAGTAAAAGATTTTATTGTTGTAATAACACTGACATGTATATACACTGAGGGGCAAAAGAAACGATACCAAGTAAATTTCACAACGTGAGAAAAAACAAGACGTCATAAGCATAAGGTGACAATTTATATTTTCAGAACAATCAAACAACTACAACATATCGTAAATTCATACAGTCATAACCAAAGAAGGTACAGATATTCAACAATTAAAGAGGGTGGGGTCGATTGTCCAGTATTCGATCACGTACAAGTTTACACAGTCCCACTGAAACAGTCATTTGAGCACATTTTACCACAAATTAGAGTCAGTATCGAGTGTGTGCTCCTCCAGCATCGATACAGGCTCGAACTCGACGTCGGGCAGATGACGTCAGACGTCTGATCACCGGACGTTGGATCCTGTTCCACTCGTCTTGCAGTGCTCTGGCAAGAGCTCTCCTGTTGGCAGGCGGATGTGGTCTGGCGCGAATTTGCCTCCCAAGATGGTCCCAAAGGTGCTCAATGGGGGAGAGGTCAGGGGAACGTGCTGGCCATGGTAAGACGTGAACGTTGTTAGCGTTAAGGAAACCCCTAACGCGCTGTGCTGTATGGCATGGAGCATTGTCGTGTTGGAAGACAGTTCGGGGGGTTCTGCTGCAGGAATGGCAAGACGACTGGTCGGAGAACCTGGTCGATGTACCTTTGACCATTCAAGTTACCGTCTACGATCACCAAGTCTGTCTTTCTGTCTCCAATTATGCCTGCCCAAACCATGACGCTGTCACCGCCGTAGGGCTCCACTTCTTGTACGCAGCAACGTGCAGTACGTTCACCTCTGCGTCGATGTACCCGTATCCTGCCGTCTGGTCTGTTAAGGTGGAACCTGCTCTCATCTGTAAAGAGTACTCGAGCCCATTGCCTGTTCTGCCAGCCTGCAACTTGGCGTGCCCATCTCAGACGTTCACGTCGATGTTGACGGCTCAGTGCTATGCCACGGAAGGGTCGGTAGGCGCGAAGGTCGTGCAAACGTAGCCTCCTAGACACCGTTCGTCTGCTGACACGATGGCCGAGCGCTGTCTCTGCCGATGACGTCACCGTGAGGAACCTGTTACGTAAGTGTAACACACGTAGGTAGCGGTCTTCAGCGGCGGTCGTGACGGGCGGCCTACCACTCCTGGGTCTGTCCGACGTTCTGCCTGTTTGCCTGTAACGTGCCATAAGCCTGGTGATCGTCAAACGGATACAGTTGAAGATTCGGGCAACATGGTGGTGGGTCGCACCAAGCTGGATCATACCAAGTGCCCGTTCTCTTTGCTCTGCTGTTAATCTTGGCGTGGTCGATGATGTTAACGTTGCAATCTGATACTGGCGAACATTTCCATGTGCTTTTATACTCAATACGACGTCATTTTGCACGTGCATGAAAAATTGCCAGTCAAATGCATTTTTCATGACTTTCCATTTCCAAATGCATGTATTTTGGCGCAGGTCCGTTTCAGTTGCGTTCGTGCGAAGGTTTTCTGTTCCAAACCACCTAAAAAGTCTGAGTTCCAATCCAATTTGTCCCCCATTAAAGTTTGGTATCGTTTCTTTTGCCCCTCAGTGTATGTTCGATGCAAAGGCCCGAGTTATCACTTTATATTCGATTAGGCAACATTATCAACTTTAGATTATGGAAATTAACTAGTTACAATTCAGTAAGCTTTAAATTAGTAAGTTGAATTATGTCTAATCTATTCGAGCTTGGATGTATAATTATTTGTGTTTATACATTATGTTTCATTATATGCAACATGGCAACGTAATAATACCTAAAAAGTAAATTCAAACTATTCTATTGTGTTTGAAGTCTTTGTATGTCCTTGAAATTTCGTATATTGTTTCCTATTTATTAGGAAGTTGAAGAAAATATAATCTTCAGTAACCTCTAAACCATTACATCTAATTCAATCAATGTGCATAAGAAGTATTTTAGCATCCATTACCATTGAAGAGTACCAGACACTTACCTCTGTAAAAACATCATAATCCCCTTTCTCGCCGACACGTGTTCATTTGCCAAATGCTGTATAAGCCAGTTGTAGTGATTAGCAATAACTATCAAAACACTTTAAATACCTCTTCTGATTGACACTAAAGGTAGCATCTCTCGTAAGAAAAGCTAATATTTGCTCAATACTACTAAATTGGTTGAAATAATAGGTACAGTGTGATTTTTAAAAGTACGACACACATGTGCGTCTCTCGCAGAATAAGAGGTGCTTTCTGTTGACGGATATATGTGGCTCGCTGTGAGAAACTGCCATTTACCTGTGAGTTAAAAAAACAGAAAGGGACCAACAAAAGAAATATCATTAATCACAGGTGACACAGGCAATAGAAGAGCCAGATATAGCAATATGGATTGTTTTCTGTTTCTGTAAAGAGACATGTTTAGGTCAGATGCGGTGTATTTTCTTTACAGATACTCCTGTCGTTACTATAACGTGTACAGACGATGACTCTGGATCCAATGGCGACGTGAACATCACCATACAGTCAGGCGACGACGTCAACGACCCGGTGTTCAGCCTGAAGAATGGGACGCTCCAACTCCTGGCTAACGGGTCTAAAATCGACTATGAGAGCCTCACAGACAGAAACTACACCTATGTTCTGACGGTTATGGCGGAGGACAAGCCCACGGCAGATATACCCAACACGGCCTACACAGTTGTCATTGTCACGGTATGACTTGAGACGTTTGGTAGCCGTGAGTGAGTGAGTGAGTGGTTAGTACCACTTATTACATCACGGGTGGTGATAAATACGATATGAAAGTTCGAAATATGATATGTAATTCCTATGTAACAGGTAGTTGTCGGTTTCCGCATACCGGACTCTTAGTCAAACGCTGAGGCATTTCTTACTCATACTCTAATTTTGAGATCTCGATTCTCGAGATCTGTATGGAAACCTAACTTGCACGTGTCTAAAATGAACTTCTCATTGATGTTTTACGCAGCATTAAGCAATATTCCAGCAATATCACGGCGGGGGACACCAAAAATAGGCTGCACACATTGTATCAATGTGGGGAATGGAACCCGGGTCTTCGGCAAGACAAGCGAACGCTTTAACCACGCTCCTACCTCTCTTCTCTCCCTCTCTTCTCGACAGCTGCCAACATATTTTTCTTAAATCATGACTAAATTACGTGGGTATAACAGGATAAGAATATCAAAATTCGGTGGAATGAGTGAGTATAGTTTTACGCCTGTCTCAGGAATATCCCCTCCTTATGACGGCAGAGGATAGGAATACGCTTCATACTAGTTGGGAATCCATGTTTCAATGGTGTACAAACCGTTGCCACAGATACACGATAGCAACTTCTACACGTGGCAAAGAGGGAAACAAATTGCTTGTACGGAAACATCTGCGGAAGGAAATATAATAAGGATGCTCATGAAATACACTTCAAGCTTAGTTGGGCTCCAAATCCAACTTCTCGGAAATCCCAAACCCACGATTGTAGGTGTCACTGTAGTGGTACATATCTAAACCCTTCCTCACTTCCTCTCTCGTTAAAGTAATATGGGTTGTCAGATAAGCTGCGTATTCGGGTAAAATACGCATAGAATTACGCATTGAAATATAATTGTTGCGTACCAATTACGCATTTAAAATGTTAAATACGCCAAAAGTTTAAAACAAATGCGTACGGAATCGATTGCTATCAAGTTGTACTGTTAGTATAGGAAAAGTGTTGTAATGTCAGTATAGGATGAGTGATTTTTTATGAAATAATTTCCATCATATTTAAGTTGGTTTTGATTAGGTATGACATAAGGCAGAACATACCTGCTTAGTAAACTTGCTCAATGACATAATACTTAGGTGAGTAAAGTGACTGAAATACGCACACATTTGAAAGCAGTGGGTAACGGAAAATGAAATACCCACTCAACATTCGAAATACCCACTCCCAAAAATTACAGTGGGTACAGTACCCACATGAGCTAAATCTTATATGGAGCTCTGGAACCGTTGTGATGCTTGCCAAACATACTTGTTGTTGCACTGCTTGCTATCGGCATTATTATTGATAAAAATAATTCTTTATATTGCGCCTAGCATCCATCTGACTAGTTGCTCACTGGACGCTGTAATCAGAATCTGATTATTTTTACTCCGGATAACCCAAGCTGGCTGTGAGGCGCTAGAAGTTTAATGTTCACATTTTCTGCTGAGTGAACTGAGGCAATTTTGAACAAACTCACCTGCCTAAGGTGAGACCACATATGTCACGGTGCTTCGTCGTGGGGTAGATCAGAAGTCCTAGAAACTCTCAGGATTCAAGCTGCCAAACACTGTCACACATGGAAGGACTCTCCGAGTTCGACTTTGCTTAACTTTCACTGCAATGTTAATGTATGGCACTTACACTAAGAGAGCTTCGAAAATCTGGGCCCAGGGCTGTATGCACAGGACCACACAGCACCACATTAACGGGACGAAATAAAGACAGGTTGATCGGGGGCAGTATTCTGTCAGTGTGTGGTATCAATGTTATACGGCGGTATCTCAGTAGTTTGGCACCATAAAGCTGGTGTCGGTGAGTGAGTGAGTTTAGTTTTACGCAGCACAATTTGTTTCAAGTGAACAATTTACCAGACGTTGCATATGTTTATGATGGATGTTACTGGTGGGGCAAGGTACAGCCACCGTTTCGCGAACACCTGATATCAAAACTATTTTGATAGTGATATGCTCATGATATAGTCCGAATTGTACAATGGAAATCAGCAGAGATTGCTTATGGGTGTGGGTGAGTGTGGTTAGTTTAACGCCGCACTCAGCAATATTCCAGCTACATGGTGGCGGTCTGTAAATAATCGAGCCTAGACAATCCAGTGATCAACAGCATGAGCATCGATCTGAGCAATTGGGAGCCGATGGCATGTGTCATCCAAGTCAGCGAGCCTGACCACCCGATCCCGCTACTCGCCTCTTACGGCAAGCCTGGGTTACTGAAGATCAATTCTACCCGGGATCTTCACGTGTCTGGTGTCAGTACCATAAGGAAGAAACCCGTGCACGTCGCTAGCATCATCCTTAAACCATATTTAACTTGGCCCAGTATGAAGAACAACTGAAAAATACTGTTCAGGACAGCGTTGAACGCACTGCACTTCTGATCCACTTCTAGGTACAAGCTCTGAACGAACACGCCCCAGTCTGGGAAGATGCCCTTGACCCTATCCAGGTCACAGTTCAGGAGGACCTGCAACCCGGAAGTTCAATCATCCAGCTCAACGCCACCGATGCAGATGCGTTACAGGATGGAGTAGTCAAGTTCAAGGTTATGGAGGTCAAGGATGGTATGATTTCTGTTTTTTCTTAATTCCTTTACTGTTGGTAAGAGTGGATTCAAGCAGAAGACCGAACATTAACATACGTCACTTCAGGAAGAGTTTGTATTTTTTGGGGTACGGATTTTGTGTATATTGATTCAATTATGGAGGCAAAAATGACAGTAGCATTGTTTTGTTCAGTATATATTATATTGTAGCTGGATTGGTCAATTTAGAATGAACAAATAACATAATTCAGTAGTGTTGCATCGTGTTTGACAGAATGATACAGTTGCTGAACGTCAAGTGAAAGTTTGATAAAATTATCTTTCAGTTCGCTTTGAAATGTAAATGTTAAACCCCAGTATTAGATCACTGAAGTGGCATTATATACGTGTTTTCATTGATATACATATAGATGTTATTGGTTTATAGACTCCGGAACCTCGTTAACCGACGTTTTCGCAGTCCACCCGGACAATGGTCTTGTGACCATCGTTAAGGCTCCGGACAGGGATACCGCAACTGGAGGCGTCGCCTACTACAATGTTTCCATCGCAGCGTACGATCAAGGCATACCATCGAAAGAAACAACCAAGAACCTCAGTATAGAAATCCTCAACGTCAACGACAACCCACCTACCTTTGTCAATTTTCAGGGTCAAGTAACCGTAGCAGAAAACAATGCCAATAAGGATGATCCCATTGTCAACGTCACCGGAAATGACGTGGACGGCGACACATTGACACTGTCCATTGTTGGAGGGAACACTAATTACTTTTATGATAACGAGACGGCCATCATGGCTCTTCAAAAACTGGATTTTGAGAGTCAGAGTTGTTTCACACTCATCATACAGTAAGGAAGAATGTATAATATATTTTCATTATGTAGGAACTGATATAACGAAAGAAACCTTATTTATTTATTTATTTATTTATTTATTTATTTATTTATTTATTTATTTATTTATTTATTTATTTATTTATTTATTTATTTATTTATTTATTTATTTATTTATTTATTCATTTTTATTATCATATTTTTTGTTACTAAGATACATTAAAATGTCACAGACATCCATCTAGTGATACCTCTGTACATCACACAAGACCCCCTGAATATCCAGGTAAGAATTGTCTCCGATGCTTGTCGTAAGAGGCGACTAACGGTATCGGATGGTCAGGCTCGCTGACTTGATTGACACATTTGCGTATATCTATGCTCATGATGTTGATCACTGGATTGTCTGGTCCAGATTCGATTATTTACAGACTGCTGCTATATAGCTGGAATATTGCTGAGTGAGGCGTTAAACAACAAATAAACAAACAGCACAAGACACACATCAGATGAAGGTAAGCAGCATTGGTCGCAGAGAGTCCTGGATAGTTCCTGGCTGCTCATAAACTGAAAGTACACACTTGGTGCTTTTATTACTTCACAAAGGGCGACGTAAATGTTTTGAAAAGAGTTTTACAGTGATATATAGTCACAAACTTTCCTAATATGGTCCCAGAACACCACGGATATCGTGCCCAATTGCGAAGTTGCCAGTCAAAATCACAACACTTTTCAAATAATCCCCAAACACCAGGTGTGTACTTTCTTTTTTACGTCAGTTTATTCTGAGGGTATTTAAGGCTTTGTTACTACCCACACATTAGAAGCACACATGTAGCAAGTGTTATACATGTGGTATCACCTTAGGGAAGTGACTTTGTTCATATGTGTCTCTTGCAACCAAGCAGTGGATGGGTACCCGGTAGGATGAGATAATGATAATGTGACTGTTAAACGTTAAGCGCTTCACATACAGGTTGGGTTGCATACTCCTCAAGGAGATGGGAATGACAATCGAGTGTACACCGATCCACTGACTTGGGTATAAGCAGTCATAAGCAATCGCTTGGTGAATGGTATTTGGCGCATTTTAAGTTCATAAGGAAATAAGCATAAATTTCGTTTTCTAGGTGACCCACAGTGGCAAGAACAGCGCCACTGTAGTGGCATTAATCATTTTTAACATGTAATGAAAAGTTCCATGTGTATTTTCAGACTTAGCGATGGAACATTTGACGTTAATAAGACATTGGCAATAACAATAACTGACGTGATAGACGAGCCTCCCAAGTTGACAACCTTGTCCCCTGTAAATGTCCTTGAAGACCTCCCTCCAGGGACCGTCATCGGGGGCGTGTTTCTGGTAACGGATTCAGACAAAGATGACGTGTTGACCTACACGCTAACAGGCAAGATCCTAAATGATTGTTACCCAGATACGCATGCTGACATAGAGTATTAAGTAGAAAGAATGAAGAATTATTTTAAAATCATCATCATCATAATCATCATCATTATCATCATCGGGTAGGTGTGGTAGCCAAGTTATTAAAGCGTTCGCGCGTCACGCCGAAGACCCGGGTTCGATTCCCCACATGGGTACAACGTGTGAAGCCCATTTATGAATATTGCTAAAAGCAGCGTAAAACTAAAATCACTCACACTTTCGTCATCAGACCACATCATTAATCATGTGTACCATCAATCACTATCACGATCACCATCATCAGCATCAAGCATCTTCTTCAACGTCATCAACTGCAATGATACATTTTGACCCTTCTAGTCATCAAAAATGTGCCAAAAGTCTGCCAACGATTTCAGTGAATGTCAGTGTCGGGTAATGTCTTTGACAGAGCTATGAAAATGTTGTCACTCGTCACAACATTACAACTGCATCAGTGCAGATCTACGTAACACGATTCACAGCAGCATATTTCTCTCTTCACCAAGGAGCCGATGCCAAGTACTTCAACATGGACAACACAACGGGAACTCTGACGATGTTGAGTCGCCTGGACGTAGACTCGGTGCCCGTGTCCTACCTGGACAATCTGACCATAGAGGTACAGGACATGGCGGGGCTGAAGGATGTGCAGGCACTGAATCTCACCATCGTGGATGTAGACGACAACAGTCCAACGTTTTCTGAAAATTCCTACAAAGTCACCGTCACGGAAAATTCAACCACGGGTAGGATCGAAAATATACTGAGGGAAAAAAATAAGGGATCATATGTAAGCACAATTGTTCCTTCATTTATATTCCAGGTTCCTTCATAAGTTGTGCAATACAAGGCTTGTGAAGAAACCTAGGAAAAAATAAAGGAACACTTGTGCTTTCATGTGATCCCTTATTTTTCCCTCTGTATCTGTTTGGGTTTGAGTTTCAGTGTACTAGTCAACGGCCTAGTTTCCACGATATAAGCCTGTAAACATTTGACAATTGACTTTTCAGCCATCATTAAACAAAAGATTTTGGTTTATTTGTCCGGCGGTTTGTGTACAAAAGTCATGGTGTGGTGTAGTGGGTTGCACATCCATGTAAATCCTCTGGTCCACACCAACGGATGGTTAGATTAGGATAGTAGGGCTGCTGATGCGAACACCGTCATGGAAATGACGTTAAAATGACGTCACGGAAATGACATGCATTTATGGTGTTACAAATGAGCATGACGTTTTGGTATGTAAAGTTTTCCTACCGGGAAGACAATCAGTCACATACCCGAGCATGGCCACATGAACTATAAATGTAATATCATTCCAGGTTGTTACAGGTCTATGTGTGTCAGTCGGGTTCTTTTCTTTTTAAGGAAAATGACCGATTGTTACACAAATTATTCATTTAACTAGGACATTTATAGTTATTTCGGAAGAGTCAATCGTGTATTATGATGATATCGTCAACAGTCATGCCTATGACCTCCTCTCTACACAGGGACAATACTACTTCTGAACTGCACGGATCCAGACAGGGGGCTCTATGGTCAGTTCAATATCTCGATCGTGTCCGGAGACGCTGGCAACGTGTTCAGTGTCCTCGGGCTGGAGCTGGCGGTGTCGGGCACCGTGGACTACGAGAGTCTCCAGGACCAGGACTACAAGTACATCCTCACCCTGAAGGCTACAGCAGCTTCTGGTGGTGCCAACCCCAAGACTGCAGCCACGGTGGTCATCGTAGAGGTCAGTGTCGAAAACACAGGTGTTATGTGAATAATTGAACACGGGCTTAACAAGCCAACTCTCTAACCACAAGCTTACCCCACTAGAGTGTATGTCATAGTTTCCTTATCAACGTAATATGTGTACATGCACATGCTATTTGTCAAATCTCGGAGATTGACCTGGACAGCAAGTGGTCGCCATGTTGTGAATGCAAGAGAAAATATATCCCCCATCCAACAAAAACAACAACACCAAAAAACACACAAAAAACCCAAAAAAACCCAGCAAAACAAACATACAATATATTTTTTAATAAAAAAAAACAAAACAAAAAAACAACAAAAACAAACAAAAAGCCCAAAACAAACCCAAAACATAATTGTTGTTTATAAAATACAGCACGGGTACCCTACAGCAAAAGGTACATCTGGTACCACATTATGTTCAATATCAAGATAAGAACGTCAGGCATTACCTCGTTTTTCATTTAAAGATGACAATATCACCATCAGATAGTGTTACAGATGAACGTGAAGTTGCCAGGTACCATATAGTATTTCATGCAAGGTGAACTCGTCAAGCACCCTATTGTTTTCCATACAAGGTGAACTCGTCAAGCACCCTATTGTTTTCCATACTAGGTGAAGTCGTCAAGCACCCTATTGTTTTTCATATGACGATAAAGTCAGGTACATTAGTGTATTTTATTTAAAGGTTAAGCTATGATGCATCAGATTCTGTTTCTTGTTAATTTGAAGGCTTCAGGTACAATTTTATTTTTAATTTAAAGGTACTTCCTGCTAACGAGTTTTCGCCCGAATGGAATCAGTCGACAGGAATTGTGGGAGATCGTTTCCCCGACATACCTGTGTACGAGAACGCCACGAGGGGTACTTTGGTCGGAACGTTTCCTGCCAATGATGCCGATGTAGGGAACGATGGCATGCTTGAATATACGATTCTCACATTGACGTCTAGTAAGTAAACCTCCGCGTTAATGAGTGTATGTAAAGTCGGTTTGAGCAGCATGTTGATTTATTCGTGTATGGGCTATTTAGTTGAGCCTATAGCGACACAAGGGATGGCAGGGTAGCCTAGTGGATAAAGCGTTCGCTCGTCGAAGACCCGAGTTCGATTCCCCACATGGGTACAATGTGTGAAGCCAATTTCTGGTGTCCCCAGCCGTCACAATGCTGGAATATTGCTATATGAGATCATGAGCGAATATCATGTTCGGATCCTGCATCTGTGGAACGAACCTCTCCATAGCGAAATGTGGCACTTTGTGACACGTGCTCTTTCTGCCGTTGAGTTATGATTCTATATTTCCAGTACATGATGGTGAAAATATTACTGGATTGTGGAGGGATCGTTTTTGGTGTATCTATTTTCTTACATCGGCGACCTCTGACGAGTGAAAGCTGTAACCATGAGGCTACCCCAACACCGCTGTTACTCATTAAGACGCGCCATATAGCTGGAATATTGCTGAGTGAGGCCTTTAACAACAAACCAACAACAATACATTAAGCCGGGTCACGCTGATTCCACACAAGGTTTACTAACTTCTAGTACTTTAGATGTTGGAAATGGGTTCATCTTATTCTTGAAACTAACTATCTTAACAAAAACAACAACAAACGATTTCTCTTTAGGTTCGGGCAAGGTTTCGAGGAGCCTCTTTCAGATAGATGCCGCTAACGGCGAACTGCGCACATCCGGTGACCTTGACCGAGACGCAGGAACTGGAGGTGTGGAGTTCTACAACATCACAATCCAAGTGTCCGATAGTGGAAATCCACCGAATTCAATCCAAGCTAACTTCAGCGTATTGCTGTTGAATGTCAATGACAACGCCCCGACGTTAGACGTGACTGCATCTGACGTCGTTGTTCGCGAGGATGTGAATATTGGCGACGTCATCTACAGCTTTGCCGGTGTGTCCGACAAGGATGGAGACACCGTCATCATCATGGTGAATGGAAATGCCTCCGATACGTTCGAGGTCCAGACAGGCAATCTGAGATTACGGAATAGTCTTGACTATGAAGGGGAAACATGCTTTACCATATCACTTACGTAAGTATCAGTTACGTACAGTGATGATAGACGCCGCTTTGAGCACTTCAGTTAGATCATCGCGGGTAAGCTTGATGATGTTTGAGTATACCTTCAATGATGCAAGTCTTATACGTTTATCAGTTTTCGAGCCTAGGTTTGGTTAAGACATACTATGGATCATATTCGCAATGACTCAGGGACTCGAACCATGGTCCAGAGGACCCCGCCACACATTAAGTTGAATGTTAACCCCGGGCACTTGTCTCGATAAACGATGTAGCTTTAAAATTCATGGACGTTGTATCCATGCTGTACGTAATGTACAAGCCTTGAGGTTTGTTTTTCTTTCCTAAGGTGTTTGTTTTTTCCATGTCATATCCTGCAACATACGAGAGTCTAAACTTGAACCTTTTGTAGTACAACAATTTTCTCAGCGACATTTCGTGCTTATTAACGAAACATAAAAGATCAGGACAAATCTGACGTAGTTCTATAGAGAGGATCGTGGAGCGCGCTACTCGTCTTGGCAATTAGTGACATATACGCCATTATCATATGTACTTCCTTTGAAGTTCAGCTGTGATCTTCTTTCACATGCTGTGTGTATTTCACACTGATAGTAATTTTGACTGAGACTGGAGATGAAATTTCATACATTATTTGTTCGATGTTGTGCTATTATATTAATAGAGAGCAGGGCGTGTTTTTGGTTCCGTCTTCTTGGGTGGCTAAGCTTTGAATTTGGAATATACTGTTAATTCACATGAACATATGTCACAGTTGAATACGTATTCCTGTCTAAATTATTTATTGTTCAAATGTGTCAAATGATTAAAATCCTCTCTTGCTCACTGATGTATATATTTTAGGCGCGCAGTGCATATGGATATTTTTCTAATTGGTTGTGTCGTCACATTGTGTGGGGTATCTCCCCACCCCGCTTTATACCCTATATTCTTATTATCATCACACTCAAGGAAATGTTTGTTTGATAAAAAGATTCTGAACAAGTACATGTAGGGAGACCCTTAATAGAGCAAAAGGGAGACTGGGGACTTGTCAGATGTTGCGCTGCGAGTCTAAACCTGGAAACCGGTTTAAACCCAAATAAACGCCGGAAACCCTGTCCGTTTCCCCTTTTCGAATGTAATTATTGTCAAACATATGTGATTATATAAGCCTTAGAATTTTGAAATCAGCACAGTTACTTTGAACTTTTTAATCTAGTATACTGTCGAGCAAAAGAAAGTATACACTCGAAACTTACATTTGATAAATATATTGAATACGTTATCAAAATGTTACTAGGCTGTATAGGCCAGGAGCATTAGACATGACATTGGAAAAAAATAGTAGAAAGCTGAATTTTTCAGGAAAGCTTCAGAACATCATTGCCATCTACAAGACACAAAGTTCTGCAAATTCTACCTTGTGGCATTTTCAAAATGGCCGCCGATTTCAAGATTGCCGCCAAAATCTTAAAATGATTATGCAAACATATATTTTGTAAATAATTATGCCATGTGATATATCAAATGAAAGCTCATCTCACAGGAATTCCAAATATATTGATATCATGCCTTGTGGCATTTTCAAAATGGCCGCCAATTTCAAAATGGCCACCATTGTCCTTAAAATAATCATGGCAATGATGTTCTGAAGCTTTCCTGAAAAATTCTTCCTACTATTTTTTTCCAATGTTACCTATTGTTTGTGTCTAATGCTCCTGGCCTAGTAAACAGTAGCCGAAACACTGAAAACATGAGTCCAAACCACAACTGTGATACACACATGAAATACCTCACCACTGAATAAACATGTTTTTGCTTCATAGAAAGACATGAAAAGTGGGTGTATTTCATCAATGCCCGTCAAGTTACATACAAAATGTATGAATGTCAGTGTGATTGTTGGTTTGCTTGTTGTTTACAGTGCCACGGATGGTCAGTTTGAGACACAGATGTCCCTGACTGTAAAGATCTTGGACGTCGTTGACGAGACTCCCATTATAACGGTCCTGAACCCTCTGTCCGTCCCAGAAGGGCTGCCCGAGGGTGTCAGGTTAGGGAAGTTGTTCGACGTGGTGGACAAAGATGCCAATGACAATCTAACGTACAGTCTACAAGGTACGTGCTACACAAATGTCAACTTTCCATTATGTCGAGCAATATTCCAACAGCTCCAGCCCGAGGTGTTTATATTTTACAATACAACTGGTACAACTGAGCAGTAATATGACTCATATTGTCAAAGTGACAACACTCAATGCCTCAGTAAAGCTTTCTAAAAACGTTATGGTAGACATATGGAGGATATTTCCAAATTTGACGCATTAGTGACACACTTGATGTCCGATGCAACTCCCTATTTTGACTTACGTTCTCGATTTGTTTCAAGGGAACAATTCACTAGCCGTTGCATGTGTTTATGACGGATGGCACAGGTGATGCAGGGTACAGTCACTGTTTCGCGAACACCTGATATCTAAACAATTCTGATAGTGATATGCTCGTCATATAGTCGGAATTTTACAATGGAAATCAATTTTCTTTCTTATTGATGTGCAAAGGGTGTTGTCGTTTCTACTAAGAAGCGTCATCGACAATTTCACATTTTGTCAAGTGAACCGTTAAGTGTACCTTGTACGATTGTATTTTGTTCCCAAAATACACAATGTATTCGTACTGTAGGTGATCATGTGCTGACACATGTCATTGTATCCCAGATACGTAGATTGATGCTCATGGTGTTGATCACTGTATTGTCTGGTCCAGATTCAATTATTTACTGACCGACGCCATAGAGCTGGAATATTATTTTGAGGTTTCAAAAGTCCTTTACTTTCCTAATACCACTATAGGACAAACTGTACAGATCAACTGATACCTGAAAAAATAAATAAAATAATTGAAAACAAAATAAATATATATATAAATAAATAAATAAACAAATGGATAGATAAACAAAATAACTAACATAAATAAATAGAATAGATAAATAAACCAAAGTAATAAAACCATTAAGACATCACTCGCTCTCTCATTCATACACATGCATCCTAGCTTGGGATATTGCTAATTGCAGCGTTAAATAACAAACGAAAAAAACAACAAATTGTCCACATCACATTAAGTCTTGCACCCGTGTCCTCACATACCTGTAATACTGTTAAAAGCGGTGGTTAACCCAACCAGGATGGTTTGTCCGGAATAACGGGATATAAAGTATGGCGTTTATGATGGACAGGTAATGGCAGCATGGACTACTTCACCATCGACCCCATCCTCGGGGTCCTGACTCTCCGCAAGCCCATAGACCGTGATGGCGCGAATGGGGTGTTGTCAGTTACAATGAACATCACCGTCACCGACTCCGCCAACAACACCGACACCAAGCCCCTCGTCATCGATATTACAGACATCAACGACAATGTCCCCGATTGCTCAATGGATGTACAAGTAATAACGCTCATGGAGAATGTTCCAGAAAGTAAGGCTTGGTACATTTGCTAACTATATATTTGACTTTACGTACCGTTCTTTAGTCAGAGGACCGTTCTATAGCCCGGAGTGCAGCGGATCGATACGTCATGTGGTACGTATGTGCCCTTGCTCGAGTCAGTATAGTGTGTCTGAGTGGGGTATTAATTCTTCACTGCGGCATGGTCTGCACTATAAAACCAGCTTCTTACATGAAATACAAGCAAGAGGCAACTAACGACGGATCGGGAATACCATGGTACGTATGGCTCGCTGACTTGGTTGAGCAACACGGGATCGGATCGTATCCAGCTCATGATGTTGATCACTGGATTGTCTGGTCCAGACTCGAGTATTTACAGACAGTTGCCATATAGCTGGAACATTGCTGAGTGCGCCGTTAAACACCAAACCAACCAACCAACATTAAATACATAAATGTTTGTGAGCAGCTGGAGTAGGATATGCTAACTCTTTTCACATGTCCCTGGTGTCAACACTGATCTTCGGTGATGGGTCCATCTAAGTGGAGTCCGACACGTGAAGGTCGGGCTAGAGTTGGCATTCAGTAACCCATGCTTGTCGCAAGAGGAGACCAACGGGATCGGGTGGTCAGGCTCGCTGGCTTGGTTGATGTATATCATCATATACAAGCTCGATACGTCATTCAGTAAATCACATTACATCCAAATACCCAGTGCACACGCATATGTCGTTTTACATTTTCAGCAAGAATATGTTTTATTATGTTATGCTAGATTATTATTTAACCTTGCAAATAGGTGAGGTGAGGTGAAATTGGGTTTAACGTCGTGCTTGAGAATATTTCGCTCATATGACGACGTGCATGCGTGTGTATGTGTATGTGCGGCTGCTTGTATTAGCCCAGACTGAAGCTGGTTTTATAGTGCTAGTTCACTGAGATACCATGCCGCAGTGAAGCATGAATACCCCACTCAGACACTTTAAACTGACTCCGAGCCGACCAGTCCTTGTTGTACCCATTAATGCCGAGCGTCAGACACGGACCAACAGGTACCATATTTTAACGTCTTTTGGTATTACGCGGTCGGGGAACCTTGCAAATAGCGTGTTATAAGAAGTATCCTGCTTCACAGAATCAGCAGTTTCTACATAGGGAGTATTTTTCACGTATTTTCTCAAACATGCCACTCAAGTAAAATGCCATTTCTACAGTTGACGTATTAATCATTGGTCCGAGTATAATGCTATTCAGCATCACTTGGAATCACCCAGAGGCAAATATACTATTCACACTTTGCTAAGGATCAGATCATTGATTCAACAGAAAACTATGATGTGGGGTCTAATTTGGATTTAAATATCGAAGCTTATTGTAAGCATGGATCCTAGGTTTGTCACTGCATCTTGTGGATCCCATACCTGCTATTGACAGGTGTTGTGAGCTTGCCAATGACTCGTCAATGATTTGCAAAATGGTTGATTGGTGCCATGAAAACCAATTTTATGGTTACTCATGTATGAAGTGCATAAGGTTAGATTAAAGTGGTTGTTTGCCTAAAGAAGGGTTACCATATTATTATTTATCCATTTTTAAATGGATACAATTTCAAATTATAAATCTATGGTTAAAGTAAAGTTGGGAATTTTGGTGATGCTTATCAAAGTGTGAGTAGTATAAGTATACACAGGTTTCTTATAAATGGAAATTACTTTTTGAGATGTCACCCTCGCCCGGTTCACGTGTACCGACAAAGATAACGATGGAAACGACACAGTGACACTTGTGCTGACGAATGAGGAGGTGCTTCCCTTCAAAGTAGACGGGATGTCGTTGATAACCACCAGCATGTCTGTGGACCTTGAGAGTCTCGGCAGTAGTAACTTCGATGTACAACTCACCTTCACAGATACACTTAATGGAGGACGTTCCAACGCTTTTACATTCAACGTGGGAGTAAATGTAAGGCATTTGTCTGCTGGGTGTTTTGTATACTTTAGACTTCACGCCGCTTCAAACAATTTAATAATATATCATTGTGGCGTTTTTGCAACATGGCTACGCAATGTTTGTGACTTGTAAGTCTCAATCACAATATTTTTCGAAATATTTAATTTGCTTTTACTTTGAAAATAATCCCGACACACCAAGTGTGTAATTTATTTTGTACGTCAGTATTTTACGTCATGTCAGCTTAATGCACTTGGCAAACTAAAATGTCGCCGGTTACGTTAATTGGTGACGCTCACGTTTATGGTGGTAGCAAAACAATGGTGTCAACCTGGGTGTCAACTCATGGCAAAATGGAAGTGCGCGGCTAAGGAACACAACTTAGAATGGCGACCCTGTTGAAGAATGAGCCGAAAGCCATTTTAAATCCTTGTGATCCTTACCTGTGTTCAGATACGTTGATGGTTGGCTCGACTGCCAGATACGGCATGATCACAATGCTCATTTTGTGAGCTGCATACACGAGGCTTCATTACATGGTAAATGTCTATGGCTGATTCGAGTTGAAGCATTAAGGATAAACCAGGAATCAATAGGGACCGTATTGTTTGGGAAATTGGTAAATATCCACACAGACCAATTTACCCTTGGCACACATGACAAGATAACAATCACAATATAATGGGTTGAAATGGGCTGGCTTTCGGCTAACGAGCGGATGTTTCAATCACTGGATCACTCCGCCGCAAGATAGTTATATACAAAATGGTCTGAGTGTATGATATTATATTCCAACTTGTTAATTCGTTTCAAATGAATTCCCACTATATTAGTGTGATAAACGACTTTAATGTGTAGTCGTTTTATGAGTGAGTGAGTTTAGTTTTACGCCGCACTCAGCAATATTCCAGCTATATGGCGGCGGTCTGTAAATAATCGAGTCTGGACCAACAATCCAGTGATCAACAGCATGACCATCGATCTGCGCAATTGGGAACCGATGTCATGTGTCAACCATGTCAGCGAGCCTGACCACCCGATCCCATTAGACTTTAATGTATAGACGTTTTATGAGTGAGTGGGTATAGTTTTACGCCGCACTCAGCAATATTCCAGCTACATGGCGGCGGTCTGTAAATAATCGAGTCTGGACCAGACAATCCAGTGATCAACAGCATGAGCATCGATCTGTGCAATTGGGACCGATGTCATGTGTCAACGATGTCCCGTTAGTCGCCTCTTACGACAAGCATGGGTTACTGAAGGCTCATTCTAACCCGGCCCTTCACGGGTTAGTCGTATTATGGTGTCATGTAACATCAAATTGTATGTAGCGGTATTAATGGTAACTAATGCTATGTTCAATTGTTGCCGAAGTATTGTCGCCGGATCAAAGATCAATACAATACATTGCTTGTTTGAGAAAAAGTTACAAAATATCCTTAAATTCGATTGGGTGCTGGTAAAATAGCTTGACATTGAAATGTGCCATTTTACGGACATTTCTAGCAAGTAGGGGTGACTATTGAGGGAGAAACAACTATTGCGATAGTCTATTGCAAGTTACTATTGCGATAGCGATAGTCTATTGCGACCAACCATTGCAATACTACTGCAGTAGTGTTTTTTCTCTCCTTGAATTGTCTCATATGAAGTCATTTCCCAAATGAATGTATAGTTTATAAGAAATACTAACAAGCTGAAGTAGTCTCAGTCTCTTTTGATAACTGACAAGGAACTTCAACTTCAGATCAAGTTTGTTTAAGAGGTAGCAGGGGCGGATAACTCTAAATCAAAGTGAACGAATCTGGAACTTCCTGTATTTTGCGCTGCGGATTTATCAACGGAAGTCAACTACTAAACTATCGATAGTAAAACATACTATCGATGCATCGATAGTTTTTCGTTTCTACCGTCGATTAATTGCTATCGGAGATTCAACAATTGCAATCCATCGATAGCTCGATGCATCGTTACACCCTTACTAGCAATGGCGAGAAAGAGTTGATTTTATGTAAAACCGCTTCGATAACTACAGTCACACATTCATCAAATTCACATAGGTATGGCGGGGTCTATAAGTGGTTAAAGAGTACTCTCATCACACTGAAGACCCAGCTCCATTCTCAACGCTGGTATAATCTGTGCTCTCTGTCATTGTAGCTACAGCTGTATAGGTTACGCTCATCCTCTCTACCAAGAGGTCAAACCAAAGATTTAGGGAGTGAGTGAGTGAGTGAGTTAGGTTTACGCCGCACTCAGCAATATTCCAGCTATATGGCGGTGGTCTGTAAATAATCGAGTGTGGACCAGACAATCCAGTGATCAACGGCATGAGCATCGATTACTGAAGATTACGACAAGCATGGGCTACTGAAGATTCAACCTAACCCGGACCTTCACGGGTCCAAAAGATTTAGGGCAAAAAATGTGGTCAATATGGATTTGTCATAAAAGAAAACAACACACATAAAGAAAGATTTCTTTTAGATTGTAATAAATCTTTCTTAATGTGTGTGTTTTCTTTTATGACAAATCCATATCGACCACAATATCACATATTTTATGTCATACATTCCTACGTGTAACCGGCATTGTCGCCATGGGTATGGACTTCTCTGCATAGAAATTAGTGATGATTCAGCAATTGTTCAGCCACATGATGATGAATCGGATTCATGTGGCGAATCGATCTGGTTCTTTCGTTGACGACCATACACTTTGATCACTTGGCTATCCCACCGCCTAGTTAACTATGAAATAAAGAGAAATTCAATACATGAAAAACAGCTTCACAACTGAACACGACATAACAGTTCGCTCTGTTGTCAAACCAATGATGTCGCTGATGACATGTATTTCTGTGTAAGATATAATGGTGTTTCAGATTGTTGGCATCAACGAGTTCGCTCCTGGGTGGAACATCTCATCTCCATCGCTTACCGTCAGCGAGGATGAGGAGGTTGGAACTATCTTGGCCTACTTGACAGCCACCGACATGGACGCGGGACCTGATGGCGACCTCATCTACAACATCACCAACATAACAGACGGTGTGTTTTTTAGAAGTGCCGTGGTTAACAGAATATCTGCTGATTCTCAAAAAAAGGAAAATTGGAATAGGCCAGTGGTGAAAGTATTCTCTCTTCATGCCAAATTCTCGGGAACGATTTGGGAAGTCGAATTATTACCGCTGGGCTTGATATTGCTGGAATATTGCCGAAAACGGCGTAAAACCACATTCACTCACTCCCACCAATGAGGGGATCCGTTGCATAAATCCATTTCTTCCGCCATGTAAATCCGACACAAATGCTAGACAGCAAAAACTATTGTTCAGTGTGGTGGGACACATGTCCCACCCACAGACTGCATCCATCCATCCATCATCGTGAACCCACAACCACGGTGTGATCGTGACGTGTTTCACAATTACGTCAAGTACTGACACAAGGTCGTGAAAACTGACAGCGTGCCCGTCCACCGAACTCCTTGCACGCATTTTGTGCGAGTCCCACCTTTGACTTATTTGAGTGAGTGAGTTTAGTTTTACGCCGCATTTAGCAATATTTCAGCAACACCACGGCGGGGGACACCAGAAATGGGCTTCACACATGGTACCCATGTAGGGAACCGAATCCGGGCCGTCGGCGTAACTTTTTTGTTCAGTGTTTATGATGTGTTCAATGGTGACTGGAAAGCCACCCGTGAAGCCTTCACAAAGCATCAAAATATCAGTGAAATATGTATCCTACCTGCTTTTGATAAAATCCCCAAGATCGCAGTTCTCTATTTTACAATTCAGTTATTAAGTACAGGAATTGTTTTTTAGCTATATTATGTAAAATATGAGTGAGTTGGTTTTACGCCGCTTTTAGCAATATTCCAGCAATATCACGGCGGGGGACACTAAAAATATGCTTTACAAATTGTACTCATGTGCGGAATCGAACCCGGGTCTTCGGCATGACGAACGAACGCTTTAACCACTAGGCTACCCCGCCGCCCCATATGAGGAATTACTACCCATATCGGAAAGGTTACACAATACGTGCTACTGTTTTCGTGTATTCTCATTTAATTATATATTTGTTCACATTGTCTATTTCACGTCAAGTATCCTATTGTGTTCAATGTTTGAGATAAGACGCACACATGGTGATGTCACATCAACGCACTGTCGAAAATAATTGAAAAATGACTTCGCCATTTTTCATGAAGCTCCAGGCGGTTTCATATGACATCGTTTCAAGTAAAACGAGACTGAATGAAACCTTTCTCGTATTCGGGAAAACCATATTTTACAAAATTTGCCAGAAAAATAATTATGGGAATGAAAAAAAGCTACTTACGGACTTCCTCGCCTCCTGAAATAATGTAATAATAATAGTAATAGTCCGCTTATATAGCGCTCATATCACGGAGCTACGTACACCACTATCCCCGGTCATAGGACACTATCGTACTTTCCGATACTTTTTCAACTCCTTGGGGATCAGACAGCCATGCTGCCTGTTAGGCACAATGAACTTAACACTCACATTGCCAGCACATCCTCACGGGTACCCATTTTACAGCTGGGTAAACTGAGACAATGATGATCTAAGTGTCTCGTCCAAGGAAACTACGCAAATGTGCCCACCTCGGGACCCGAGGTGCCTCCACCGGAGTTGAACCCGGGCCTTCAGCGTGATAGGCAGACGCCTTACCACTGCACTACTGCGCTAATGCAGTAAACCCCAGTTATAACGAACTCAAAGGTACCGCCAGTTTTAGTTCGTTATAACCGTAGTTCGTTACAGGCATTTCAGGTAAAATAAGCAACAAATGACCGGGACCCAAAAAAGTTCGTCATATCCGTTAGATCGTTATAAGCATGTTCTTTATAACGTAATTTAGTGTATATAAAATCATTATGGTTATCTCGAAACAAATAATGTGTAATTCCTCGAAATCGAGGGTTTTTCACTGAACGATTAACTTGATTTGCGGTAGATTTTTGTTTACTTAGAAATATCTGTATATTTCCAATCCTAAGACACGGGGATGCCTGCTGAAGATGCTTTCACTATTCATCCAATAACCGGAGCAATACAGACCGCCAAGCCTCTCGATGGGGATGCTGCAACAGGAGGTTCGCGGTTTTACTATCTGGAGCTTATGGCCACTGACCAGGGACAGGAGGCAATGAATGATACCACTAACTTCACAATATTTATCACAAATATAAACGACAACCCCCCGACGTTTGTTGATTTCGCACGACGGATAACTGTCCCCGAGAACGCAGGAATTGATGACGTCATCACAAATATCACCGGATATGACGCAGATATGGATAACGTCACTATTACATTGATCGAAGGGGACGTTGACTATTTCTACGTTAATGAAAGTGCGCTGAGACTGAAGCAGGCTGTGGACCACGAAAGACAGGAGTGTTACATGCTTTCTATAAGGTAAGTTACATGCTGGATTTATAATACGGAAACGTTAACATCACATCTGCTTTTGGCTGACAACAACGAGATGCCACGAAATCGTAAGTGTGCATCTTTACGTCTTTAAATGAAAGCTTTAAAATCATTTCCACAACCACAAGATTGTGATCAGAGCTTTCTGTTCATGTGTGTTGCAACAATAGTATGATGACCTTTTTCTGAGTGCTTCCAGACATTGTATTCAGAATGACAGGCGGACATTAAGTCCCTTTATTCGATTTAAATACGCAATCTCAAGTACCTTCCAGAACTTTGCCTAAATATAGCACAAGTCTAACAATAGCACACTAAGGCCCTTTACTGATTATCCACATATATAGAGATTACAAAACGAGTGGGTTTTGAATATGGAAAATATTCCAACGAGAGATTTTAAACGCTTTAATTTATTCACGAGCGAAATCAACATCCACGTGTTTTGTGATCGATTTACGTATGTTAACAGAACGAAAAGGGAGACATCTCTGTCACGACTACTTTACAGATGAAAATAAACAATCAGTTGAAAAATAATACTAATCCCCAGGAAATTTTAAGTATCCACAAACCAGATTTTTGGTTTGGTTGACATTTTGTAAAGAAATGCTTGAATGGAGTTATAATGTTACTTTAAAACGGAAAGTTCGGCATTATGACGTCACTATCGTTGAATAACCTAGTTTGTTTGCACAACACTAGTTGAATAACTTTCAACTACACCTGTTTCAAATAACCATAATTATCTCATAAAGATATTCAGATCACGTGTGTAATAAACAAGGTTATACACCTGGAACACCGATACACAATGAACAACACCTGGAGATTAAGTGAGCAGTGTACGACCGGTTTCATCCTGGTACCTTTGTGATAACGTCTGTAATATGTTGGTCACATTTTCAAGTGTGTACTATACTTTGCCTGGTAGTGTATAGAGAGGATCCATCACGAGTGGTTGTTTTAACATGGGGTGTATCATCCAAGTTTAAGTTTATCTGTATTTGTCGTGCTTTTGGCGAAGCAAATACCGATTAACGTGGCGAGGACGAGGGACATTTCCTATATTAAAAACAAGAGTCATGAATTCTATATATCATTTTCACATTACTGTTTCCCATTTCAGAAATAAATGCATCAAAACGTATATCAAATTGATCAGAAACCTTATCAACTCTTATGTATCTATCGAGCGAAGTGATACATGTTTTCCATTGCAGTGTGAACGGAAACAGACAACCTGTAAACTCCTTTTTGACATACTCATTTGGCAAAACAAGTTCATGAGTTATGTAGAATAACTAAGACGGTAACGTCGGTAACAACAACGCCTCTGTGCCATTTCATGACATGTCTGGTATAATTACACCGATATTTATCTTTTACGGGGACCGGTCAAAATGCACTATTCCCAACATTATGGGGTTATTATTATGGGTGTATGACATACATTGTACATGTATGTTTTTATGTCGTAAGCTTGTGTCTCGGATAAATGTATTTCATAAAATATAATGTAAGTATATAGAAAGTTGACGTGTTTGAAATTATTGCCATGTTTAATTTCTCACAACTGTCTTGAATACGTCTCTCTTCAGCATGCGTGATGGCGTTTACAGCGTCAATGAGACACTCGTCCTTAACGTGACAGACGTCATAGATGAACCGCCCAATATAGAGACACTGGCTCCTGTACTTGTCGTTGAAGAACTTCCGGTTGGCACAGTAATCGGCGGGGTAGTCCGAGTCACCGATCAGGACAAAGGAGATGCGCTGAAGTATTCGTTGTCAGGTAAGTGGTCATAATTCTCATCACACAGAACCCGAGAAGATCTGGGTTATTTTTGGTCATCGGAAGAGAAGCAACGAGCGGGTGGTCACTGCGACCTGGGATACTCAACGTATCCCATCAATGCTCATGATGTCAAACACTGGATTGTCTGGATCAGACTCCGATACCTAATAACATTAAGAGCAATTGTCCGATGTGAATATATTTTTTAATCCATTTAGTTGTGTTTGATCTTTACACGAAATATAAGACCCTCGGAAGCATCATACCTAAGGACGAAGAAACAGTACTTGTTGCTTTACGGTCATACCCATTAAGGGCGGTGGGGTAGCCTAGTGGTTAAAGCGTTCGCTCGTCACGCCGAAGACCCGGGTTCGATTCCCCACGTGGGTACAATGTGTGAAGCCAATTTCTGATGTCCCCCGCCGTGATATTGCTGGAATATTGCTAAAAGCGGCGTAAAACTAAACTCACTCACTCACTCATACCCATTAAGGGTATACAACAAGAACCAGAATCAAACAATGTCCCTGTGGAGTGTCTATGCTGATACTGTTGCCTTGCTTCCCCTGTGGGCTTGCAAATTAATCCCTGTAAAAGGACTAGCGCCACACGCAGCATTGTTCCACCTATGTGATGGCGGTCTGTAAATAATCGAGTCTGGACCAGACAATCCAGTGATCAACCGTATGAGCATCGATTTACGCAGTTGGGATACGATGACATGTATTAACCCATCCCGTTAGTCGACAAACATGGGTTTCTGAAGACAAATTATTCTAACCCGGATAACAGTACTAGTGCAAGCAGCCACGTTCATACAAGTACACAAGTGCGCACAATTACATGCTTTTTGCGAAATGAGAAAAAATAATCATGACCGCGACGTTAAACCCCGTAATAACTTACCTATTGAACTACAAATAACTCATTACATGTTTGATGGTCCTGAAATCCTCATTACATGTTTGCACTGATATTTGTTTCCTTTATCATGATTAACAGTGAACATGCATGTATTTATGATCAGGTAACCACAGTTCCTACCTGAGTGTGGACAACACCACAGGGGAGTTCCAGGTGCGTGGCCGACTTGACCTCGAGTCCTTGACCTACCCCTACCTTGACCAGCTGACCCTTACCGTCGTGGACCAATCCGGACTCAACGCGTCACAGCAACTCAACTTGACCATCATGGACGTGGACGACAACTTCCCCACATTTTCCTCCACGTTGTATAAGACCATCGTCACAGAGAACACGTCTAATGGTAATGGTAGTTCCAGAAAGTGTTTCTGAAAAGTACTGACCGAAGTGTATACGTGTGTCTGAAATATATCACCATGTAAAGCAATTTAACTATTTGTATGTGCATTACATAAAACAACTATCTAATTTACCTCCGTTATAATATGTTAAAATGTCAAGTTATTTTGGTCGTTTGGATCGAGACAAACTTTGGTAGGTTTAAGTTATATACGCCTATGATCACCTCATGCACTTTGGGGGCGGTGGGGTAGCCTAGTGGTTAAAGCGTTCGCTCGTCACGCCGAAGACCCGGGTTCGAATCCCCACATGGGCACAATGTGTGAAGCCCATTTCTGGTGTCCCCCGCCGTGATATTGCTGGAATATTGCTAAAAGCGGCGTAAAACCATACTCACTCACTCATGCACTTTGATCTTCATCGAACCAGGATCTTATTGCCATTAACATAAATCGTAAATCCACTATGATTACACTGCCTTGTATGTTGGGCTGCCCAGTCATTCAGGTTTTACAGAGAGGCACGGGCCGTCCACTGTCGTCATATAAGGCCTTCCTGTGGAGTGAGTGAGTGAGTGAGTTTAGTTTTACGCCACACTCAGCAATATTCCAGCTATATGGCAGCGGTCTGTAAATAATCGAGTCAGGACCAGACAATCCAGTGATCAATAACAAGAGCATCGATCTGCGCAATTGGGAACCGATGACATGTGTCAACCAAGTCAGCGAGCCTGACCACCCGATCCCGTTAGTCGCCTTGGTTACTGAAGGCCAATATTCTAACCCGGACCTTCACGGTTACCTTCCTGTAGATGACAATTAACCCTTACAGCATGCTCATTCAAACGCGTGCATGTGAATGTTACGCATGTTTTGAACAAGATAGTTCAGTTTTATGCCCGTTTCCTGCAATCAGGCTTTACAGTCGGATTACAACCACTGCCGCGACTGTCGTTGATCATTGTCCCGCCCACCGTCGTTACCGTCACAGTGTAGGTATAGTCATGGTTTTGGTGAAGTTATGGCTGCCGGGACACTTACAGTTGACAGTCAGTAGTAACAGAAGTATCCTGGCTCACTGCTGATGATGTTGAACTACAATGATGAACTAAACTCTATTTCTACTACAGGAAATTGGATAAACAATGGGAGCGCCACACACCAACACATATAATATACAACACCAAATTGTTGACCGAATGTAGACATGTTCCATTATACGTAATATGTCATGTTAGGTTCTTTAACTTTATTTGTGGCATATATATTCCTATGTGTCAAACCGTTACGAGCACCTAAGTCTAACTGGTTGGCTGTTCAAGTAACACTGCTACAACTGAACTGCTCCGACTCGGACCCCGGGGTGAACGGTCAGTTCAATATCTCGATCGTGTCCGGAGACGCTGGCAACGTGTTCAGTGTCCTCGGGCTGGAGCTGGCGGTGTCGGGCACCGTGGACTACGAGAGTCTCCAGGACCAGGACTACAAGTACATCCTCACCCTGAAGGCTACAGCTGCTTCTGGTGGTGCCAACCCCAAGACTGCAGCCACGGTGGTCATCGTAGAGGTCAGTGTCGATAGTCCAACAGTAGAGTTCTTCTGTTGTCATTGGAGAAAATGTTGACTCAACGAATCTAGGGTTGCGGTGCGGATTTTGCAGACAAGATATTCCTGATGTTAATGATAAAAGTGTCGCAACGAATCAAATATTTCATTTGCTTGATAACGGTGTTAGGATTTGAACCGAAACGTCGCATATATTGCAATAAAGAAATTTTCTGTCCCTAAAAAGTGTTCATCCTCTTTATCAAATATTGCAGACGTCTGTATGCTCCACGACATCAGTCAAACTGGAGTGTATTTGGTTACAGTTGAGCTACTTGTCTGAATAAGTGTTGAACTCTGCGGCATGTTCGATTTTGGCGACGAATAGCATTACATTTTTCTCTGCCCTTTCCTCTGGAAACGTCATTAGAAATATATATCCGAAACTACTGTGTTAAAGAAGAGACATTGCGTTAAAATTTGAAGAAACGTTTAACTGTGAACAAATAAGTGTTCTAAAACAACTCTGTACATTCTGTTTTATAATTATGCACAGTACTCTCATCTTAGAGCGACTGGCAGTATACGTCCTCTAATTACCACAGAATCTGCTCATTCCCTTGTCCGTGCTCTAATTCTCAGCAGACTAGATTATTGTAGCAGTCTCTATATTGGCCTCCCTGACACTCTACTTGACAGACTACAAAAAGTCCAAAATACAGCCGCCCGCATCGTCTGCCGTACTTCCAAACACAGTCACATTACCCCAGTTCTAAAGCAGCTCCACTGGTTACCTGTGAGAGCCAGGATTCAATTCAAGACACTCTGCCTCACATACAAGTCCCTTCACGGCCAGGCTCCACCCTACATTGCAGATCTGATCAACCCCTACAGTCCATCGCGCGAATTTCGCTCACAGCAGCAAAACCTTCTGACAGTGCCGAACTACAAACTTAAAACCTTTGGATACAGAACTTTCTCCTACACTTCCCGTCTTGTGGAACTCTATCCCCTTTGACCTCAAACACTCTGAATCTCTTGACTCTTTTAAATCAAATCTCAAAACCTACCTCTTTGCTAAATATTATCCTCAATAGCCTTTATTGTTTATGTATTATGCACCTATTCATTGTAGTTTTCTTGCTTTGTATATATAATGTTTTTATTTTAAGGTACTTATGTAGCGCCAAGAGCATGCTTCTAAGCTTTATAACGAACATGATTATAACAGATGTAACGAACTGTGTTTTTGGTCCCGCTCACTTGCTTACATTTTAGTCGAAATGCGTGTAACGAACTACGGTTGTAACGAACTAAAACTATTTTTCAAAATGTTGAATATTATGCTTATATTTTGTGCAAAGCTGTATATATACGTCTGCAGTAAAATGTGACCATGGTGATATACTAATACACGTTGCCCCTGCATTTAGAATGTCATTCGATGTTCAATATATACTCATGCCAATAATGGTTGTCACCCCCTCCCACCCCAACCCCATACACACCTCACACACCCACCCCACACCCCCTCTCCAATTAAAAAAATTGAAGGGGGTGACAACCATTATTGGCATGAGTATATTAGATACTTAAGATTTTTACATTCAGGGTATTTCTTATTATTATTATCTGCTTATGACATAATGAAATGTGTACAATAAGAACAGATGCATTTTACAGCACATACCAATTCAAGAAGTAACAGTTTCGTGTCTACTTCCGCAGGTACTGCCAGTCAATGAATACGCTCCTAAATGGAAAAACAGTGCGGTGACTACTCCTGGAACGACAATGACGACTGCGACGACCTCAGTACCGGAGAATCCTACGACAACAATGAACACGACTACGTCTGGATCTGCGGAAGTCACAACACAATTAGCGACAACACCGGGGCTTGGGAACGTCAGTAACGTCATTGAGACATCAACGATGAAAACGGAGACACCAACGAATGGACTTAAAACGGGTACAAACCCTCAGAATGCGACTCTATCACAAATCAGTGTGTTTGAAAATGCAACAAGAGGAACGCTTGTGATGTCGATCGCTGCAATTGATGAGGATGCAGGCAAAGACGGCGTTATAACGTACAGCATTCGATATACAGCCTCAGGTACGTACGTCATGATGCGATCTGCTTGCAATTAGTACTTCCTAGCGGCATACGTTAGTTAGTTGTGTCAGGTCACAAAAGGCGTGTGCCAACAATACAGAGGGAAAATTCGGAACATAAAAAAACGTATGTTGCTGAATATGTAACAGTGTGTAAATAAATGTCATTTTAATGTGTTAAACTTCATTATTTTAAACTTAGGTATAAAACATTTATTATTACCAAACTAGCATGTGTTAACACTAACACTTGCACTGTTTAATCAATTCACTGGTAAACTAGCTTGGGGTTAACCTCTTTGGTCATGTGGACAAGGCGTCCGACTTCTGATCAGAAGGTCGTGGTTCGAACCCCAGCACGGGACTCGGAAATGGCCGCTACATTGGCGCCCAACGTGGGGCTGAGCACGTTCATATCAAATTTGAGTAAAATAAGTCTCAGTACCCAACTATGCGGCTCGGGACGTGCCTTCTGTTGACGGGGAGTTTGTAGCAGGGCGTGGAGTCATCCCACAGATGACATCCTTACCTTGTCAGCTTGCTGACGGGGTTAACCTCTTTGGTCATGTGGACAAGGCGTCCGACTTCTGATCAGAAGGTCCGTGGTTCGAATCCCAGCACGGGACTCGGAAATGTTATGGCCGCTACAAATATACCTAAAAGGGAAAATAATATCATATTTGCGAGCAACTGTTCTTAACAAAGAACTAAATCAAAACTATTTGAATTGTCATATTCTTGAATATCTTTTGAATGAAGATGTTTCTATATCTTACCAGGAGCAAAAAAACAGTAAAACAACAATATTTCTTGAACACAGTCTCTTCTCTTAGAGCAATTGTTTGGGGCAGTCATGCCTGTAAATATGTATCGTTGTGTAGATATGCAGGATGAGGTGGGGTATACTTGTGATCAAGATGTAGTTGTAACGATTCCAACCATGGATAAAATGCGTGAAGACCGTGGCCAAGACGCATATGTGCTACAAACCGTAAACCACAACTCATTAACAATAGTTTGCTCTTCAGGAACCTCACGTAGTTGGACTTAACTATTTCTGTTGCAGATAAAGGGATGAGTGATAATTCCCCATTTTCTATTGACGCCATATCCGGTGAACTGCGCGTGTCAGATAACCTTGACCGTGACAAAGAAACAGGTGGCGTTGAATACTACACTGTGACTATCCAGGCCACGGATGGTGGTGAACCTGCGCGTTCTGTTGAGAAGAATGTGACCATCTTACTTCTTAACGTTAATGATAACCCACCAACACTTGATTCACTCAATCGTATCGTCACCGTCCCCGAAGATATGGCAGTGGGTGACGCCATCTTAAACTTTACATCCGGGACAGACATTGACGGTGATGATGTGACGTTTTCTACTATTGGTGGCGATACTGCTTTCTTCCAAGTCGCTAATGGAAGCCTACGGGTGCTCCAAAGTTTCAATTACGAAGAAAGAACGATGTATAATGTTATATTAAAGTAAGTACAACCTCGGCCCGTTCAACGCAGCCTTCTGAAAGAGTTTAGCAAATATCTGTTCGAAGATACAACGTCATTCAGAGTGTTATTGTCAGCATACTGTTCAACGTAATGCAGACAATAGCTTATAATTATGTACTAACTTCCAGACAGAGTGGGAGCGCCTGTGCATAAACCGTTTAAGTATCTGTGTAGAGATGCGTCCCTTTATTAAAGTCACGTCATTTGATCGCCCCCATATAGCTGGAATATTGCTGAGTGCGGCGTAAAACTAAACTCACTCACTCACGTCATTTGATTCAAATCCCATCTTTTTTGTGAACACCATAGGCGTAGTCGTTGATTTAACCAAAGAGGAAAACGTCTAGCACCCAAACGTCTGTTTTGGGCTTTCACACTACACCGGTTTGGCACACCTCACTCACTCACTCACCGCATCACACGTTTACTCACTCGAGATTTATTCCCTTCATACCACATCAGTGTACTTCAGCTGCCCCGAAAATTTTATGTTGTTGTAAAAATACTTAAGAAAAATACTAATCTCAAGGAGTATTAACTAAATATTCCAGTGCCGATGATGGTGTGTTCAACACCAACGTGACGATGACGGTGTATGTTACTGACGTCATTGACGAGGCTCCAGTCCTGACCATCATAGAGCCAGTCACCATCCAGGAAGAGCTGGCTGTCAACACAACACTGGGGGGTTATCTTTACTGTCTCGGATAGGGACCAGAACGACAACTTCACCTACAGCTTGCAAGGTTTGTCAAAATGGCATTCACAAACATGATTGGGAAAACACCATTTTATGAATCATCAGTTATAATGCAGCAAAGGCGATAGTATTTGGACTTGTTTAATACAAACCGGTGTTTGTAATATTGTTGTTGCTGCAAAACTACTTATGACACAATTCATTGCTTGATGACGTCACTGTATTGTTAAGTGACGTCATTGTTACGTCAGTGTATGCATGTGTAATTTATCGCATATGACTCGATTATAACCTAAACAGGTGGTAAATGTCTTGGAAAGAAGTTTCGAGAAAGAAAGCACAATTACGTTTCTCCTTAATTCAAGCCATCAAAATATTGAAGTGGGTGATTGGTTATATCATGCCAGATGTCAATGTTTGACGTTTGACTTTTCAATCACTCGAGCAAACCAGTCAGTGGTTTTAGTCCTTCCGTTTGTAATTGATATATTGTGAATAATATGTACTTCTCAACTGTTTGAAGATTCGAACCCCGGTTGAAGACACGGTTAGCAAATACTCGACATTGAATTGATAGACATCAAGTATTCTTTGATTGCATACTAATTGCAGAACTATTTCTCCCCAGGCAACGACAGTAAATATTTCAGCTTTGATCCATCAACGAATCAGCTACGGATTGCAAATCGGATTGACCGTGATGGCACCGCAGGGGTCACCCAACTGACCAACCTGTCCATCACAGTCACTGACTCGTCCGGAGCCACAACTACTCAATACTTCAATGTGACAATACTTGACATTGACGACAATCCACCGGTCTTCTCGCAGATATATTACTATTCCACAGTTAATGAAAATTCTTCTTTTGGTAAGAACATTATGTTTAATGTATCGAATGGAGGTCATCTAGACATTACATGCATGTATGAATACTCTATAAGTACTCATTTTCAGTTGATGTAAACACTTCCCAGTTTTCGTATATTTGCGACCCTATAAAGTTGGACTACTTCCTGAATGTGGTCGCCGTTGTTCCTTCCCAGTTAATAATCCAATGGATCTATTTTCATGTGGGGAAAAAGGGGGAAGGGGCGGGGGAAGGATTTGTTTGACTCATTCACTCAAAAAAAATTAATGGTTTCCTTCAATCCATTTTAATTAATATAATTTGATTAATATGTATTACTCAGCTATTGATAGGAATAATCATTTACGTCAGACGTATTTTGATATATATGTATACTTGAAATCGTATGAGAATAAATTTTGCGGGTCATGGAATAATTGAAAACATTAAAGGAACAATTTCACACATTTTCGACACTATTTTGGCCTGTATGATATCCTTTTCCCACAGAGGTAACTAGTCATATCTTCCTACCAACCTCTGTTCTAATACGGCCCTTTCATGGTGCGAGTGTTCAGGATTCGTGATTGGTTGCAATCAGATTTAGCTGTGCAATCAGCGACGTTGTTTCAAAAGTGCATTCGTGACCCACTCGTGTTATTCCGGGACAAGCCGAATAGCGAATCGTGCCCCTCTGGAAGGATTTCATATTGACGCATGAACATCAAAACTACTTCAAACAGGAACGATAACTCTATTCCTGTTTGATTCCAATGGTACTTAATATCACCGAAGTACTCATACATGATATTGCTGTTTTTGTTTATTTATTTTAATGA